TAAAATTGGCCAAAGAACAAACACCAGGCTTTTTACCTTTTAAGTTTTATTTGGACATTTGCAGTACAGAAAGAGTGTAGACATGACATGTAGGAAATGCTCATAGACAGAACACTACTCACTCTTGCTCCATCAGGTTCAGTTTTGCTTGAGATCACAGTCAGTTCAGGTGAAAAGGAACCCTGAGCTTGCGGGCTTGCTGTTTTAGACAGTCCTCCCTTAACATTGTGATTATAATTAACAATTTATGAATTAGCACAAGAATTAAAGACTACTTTTTAACTTCTTGATGACAGTTACTGAAAGATCACAAGTCTTACCTGATCGTAATTCCTTAATATTTGATACAAGGATGAATTAATATAGCTCATATATACATAATAAACATTCTTTGTGTAACGACCAATTCCTGTTCCTGCAGCTAGGTTGTTAATTGAAGTGGTCACTAAATGAGGAATTGTATGTAGTATGTACCTTGCAATATTTTCGCTTTTATTTGCAGTACTGTAATGTATAACAACACAAAACTACTGTACTGTACAGTACATTCAAAAATTATATTGTATAAATAAGATGCACTGTACAAAGAAAGACATTGAGCCTGTATAAACAATATGTACAGAACTGTACTTAAACCCAAGTCATAAGTCTGAACAGCAGGTCAAATCCAGTTTACCTTGGTCGTAAGTCCAAAGAGTTGTTAAACGAGGAATACCTGTAACTAAGTAATCAAGTATTTTTTAAAATTGTACTAAACAACATAATTACTTTTTCTTTTAAAAACCAGTGCTCAGTCTAATCCTAAATCCTATCAAGGGTTATTGGGCATCTCTCTCTTCCCTGAATTTAGGTCTGTTGCCAGTGAATCAAGGATAGTTCACATTCATAAATAGTAACAGATAATTTTCCAAAAAGGTAAAATCATGACTCTGAGACAGATACAAGATGAAAATGAAGCAAATATGTCAATCATTAAGTAGTACTGTGGGAAACTGAAAAACGTTACAAGTAGTTAACAGATGAATCCAAAATCAAATATATATGCCTATCAAGAAGGCCAAATGAATTTGCTTCATAGATGTAAACCTCGTAGGGGAAAGAAATCTATTGAATCTTCATGTGACAAATTAATTTGTATATCTGTATGCGTAAATTATTTGCAATACTCTCAGTTGCCTACAAATTAATTTCTAGAAGTTGTAAAACAGCTCAAAAACAAAGGCCCAAACCCCTAGAGTCAGATGACTTGAAAGGATGTGTCCTGCAGTTTTCCATTGAAGATACTTCAGGTTTTTTTATCTGTTTAAAGGTATCTTGCAGTTTATCCTATATAACTAATGTTAAAAGGTAAATATTAGCTAGAATGTTTATTTAAATCCCACATTTTTGTACCATAAATGATAGTATGCACACTATATCTAGTTTGGTCCAAATCACGATAAGGAAAATTAAAATCATAATCAAATTTAACTTCACTGATGACACGTGAAAAATGTTTGTTTTTAAAAATTGCTTAACTGACCCTTCAAAAATAAAATTGATCTTTTATAGAAATGGATTGATGAAAAATGTAGGCACATTAATTTTAGGGTTTCATTTAAGAAATCTCATCAAGTGGTACCTTTAAAAATGTTTGGAATACTGATATAAAATGCATAAAATGGACTGTATCACTTCAGCTTGAATTAATAATTTAATTGCTCATCAAATAATCTCTAATGGTTTGCATTGTAAGTTTCAGGATACAGTTACTTAGGAAAAGCAACTAGTTCCCCAAATTATACATTTTATTGATTTAAAAATATTTCAATATATAGTATATGCTAATTTGTTTCATTTATACTAGTAGGTTATCTTAATTCATTGAAAAAGTTTTGTGTTTCTTTTTTGTAAAAATCTTTTTGGTTTATGTCTTATATTCTATTTGATGATGATATACAGTGTAATGACTTGTTATTCTCTTGGTTATTAAATTTTGTTTTATTTTTTCATAAAAAATAAAGCAATTGGGATGAGTGAATTTAAATGGTACATACCACTGAACTTTGGAATTGTTTTGGCACAATCGAGTTCTCCCATTCAGTTTGCCAGAATTGCACTGAAAAACTTTGAATCACATTTATGAGAAATAAAAGTTCTTGAAGTTCTGTTTACTTTAGGATGGAATATCAGCAGTAGCCTAAATGCAGTCATAATATTCTTAATGCATTCTTTCCACTTAGAAGCAGATTTCCTCATAGCGATCACCTTTCAAACTGTTGTCTTCATTGAATGAGTGTTTTTATTGTAGCTAATTTGAAGCGTTTGAGAAAAGTGACGCTGGCTGTTTTGTGTGTGCCTCGCCTGCCCTTGTTAATAGATTACAGCATTCCACTTGTTAGTACCGGTGACACAAGAGAAACTTACTATTACGCTATTTGGTAATGATAAAGAAGACAGAAAAGATCTTTTTATGGTAGTTGAGTCCTCAAAACAACTCTTCATATTTGATGATAAGGAGATTCGAGTTGGCTGTCAAACAGACTACATTTTAGCTTGTTATCTACAGAGCAGATACTGCCTTTTAAATTCCCCTGGTGTGCTGTGACAGGAACCCTTAGGAACTGAAGGCTTGCAGAGCTGGAGAGACCAGAGCACTTTACTTCCTCATAAGTACAAGTAGGATTAACCTTCTTTTATAGAATAAAATAATTTCACATCTATTTTTTTTTTGTACGAGGGATCGAACTCAGGACCTTGTGCTTGCAAGGCAGGTGGTGGCACCGCTGAGCTAAGTCCCTGGCCCAATTTCATATAATTTTTTAACAAAGGCCATGTTGTTCTTTCCTCTGTAGATTAAAAAATGTTGAAAAATACTATTGGGTGATTGCTATTTGTGGAAAGTTCAGTGTATGAAGAAGTACAAGATGAAATTAACTGCTCTTAAGATATGTGAAAATTAGAAGTATCCAGAGATTTAGGGTTAGAATAAATCAGTTCCACTGTAAGATTTCTGTATAGGCATCTACTGTCTTTGTTTTGTTTCTAGAGCTGTGTAGGTTATGAGAGTACATTGTGTTTCATTATACTGAGTGTTAGTCTTTTCACCACTGATAACAATTTCCAGAGATTTTTCAGGTAGAACTTTCTTGCATGGATAGGGAGAATAAGTGCCTCCATCCCTTAGAGTTAACAACAGGACTTTTTTTTTCTGATACCAGGGATGGAACCCAGGACCATGCACTTGCAAGGCAGGTGTGGCCCCACTGAGCTAAATCTCCGGGCCAACAACAGGACTTTTTATGACTAAGTACACATACATGACCATGTTATTAGTTAAATTAACTGAGGTTAGTGCCATGGTGTAGGGGAGGGGAAGTAGATACAGTGTTTGCTACATGCTCACGTTCAGTGATTGCATCTTAATGAAAGTATTAGGTACTGTGTATGGGATTCCTAGCACACTCCTGATAATTTGGGAAGCATAGTGATTGCTTATGACTTTCTATAAGCATGCAAAATAATTATATTGAGTAAAATGAAATTTTAAAGTAATTTGGCTTTGGAAAAACTAAGAAAAAAATTCTCTAATCTTAGTGTACTATGTTTACATTCTCAGGAAAAAAGGAACAAAATAAACACCCATAATTATTGCAAATCAGGTTTTAAAAGATACTGTACTTACGTTATAAATTAAAATATACCTTAAATCTAAACAATCGTTTATTGATGAACTTATCTAGGACTACTTTATTGATCAAACTTTATTTCCTAATTAAGCTCTGTTAAGCCCATTTGGAAATTGTTAACTTTCTAATACTTCTTTGGGTTTGGCTGGAAATTTACCAAGTCTCAAAGCTATTTAAATTGTTGAACCCAGGGCCGGGGATTTAGCTCGGTGGTTTTGTTGCCTGCTGCGCAAGCACAAGGACCCGAGTTCGATCCTTGGTACCAAAAAAAAAAAAAAATTGTTGAACCCAGTAACTACCTTAAAATAAGATTTATCAGGATTTTTAAAAATTAGACATTCTGAAGGCAAATATTCTTCAAGCCCTTGGTTTTCATTCTGTTAAACAGTAGATAAGTTACTTTATAATGTCTTTTAAAAACAAGAAATCAGGAAACTCTCCACCATATTTTTACCCCAAAGTAAGAAAACAGTCATTATAGTCCTGGACATTCTTTAGTGACACTCAGGAAAATTCATCAGAAAGCTAATTCTGTGGATTAAACCATGAAGGAGCTCCTATAGAGGGTGAGCAGAGGGGAAAAGGGATACATTCTGAATACCTCTTTGAATATAAATTTTTTTAAATATGTAAGTTATTAATATATGTACTTCATAGGAGCGAGTCATTACTGACATAAATAAATGTTTGTATATTTGTATCTCAAAATTATATGGAAATGGTAATAAAGTTGGTAAAATGCTCAATGTATATAAGTACTATAACTTTTTTAAGCACTTTGATAGAATTCTAAGTTGGTTTTTACACTCATTGGCCCTACCCCATACTGTAATCATATTCTAGTGGTGACTGGCAGAACACCAAGTGATTTAATATTCTCTAAGAAGCTTTGAAGTGAAGAATCCAAACAAATAAATATTCCTTTTCTCTTAACATACAATGGGAAAATTAATTTGTCTTCTATCTCAGGTTTACCTTACTTGAAGAATTGGAGTGCATTTTGTGATAATTTACAAAACATTTCAGTGGCTCTTTATATAATTCAGTTCGATCTGTGCTCTCTTAATAACTTTTACAAAAAAAACTCATGGAAAGTTAGTATTATTTGTGTGTGAATTTTCCAATTGTATTTCAGACCCTAAGAAAGAAAGGCCTTAATGGTTGTGAGAGCCCTGATGCTGACGATTACTTTGAGCACAGCCCACTCTCGGAGGACAGATTCAGCAAACTAAATGAAGATAGTGATTTTATTTTCAAACGAGGCCCTGTAAGTACTTTCACTTTACCTCTACTTTTTATTTGTTGATCCTCTTTGTTAACTTCATTATTTAGGCTCTGAACAAGAAGGAACACAGAGGGTGCGACAGCCCAGACCCTGATACTTCCTATGTGCTAACTCCACATACAGAAGAAAAGTATAAAAAAATTAATGAAGAATTTGATAATATGATGCGGAATCATAAAATCGCAGTGAGTACTATAGTATGGTTTGTGCTTTTATCTTGTGCATGAAGAGATTGACGACACATCTTATTTATTTTTATAGTGGGTAATAATAAGTAGGAGGGAAAATAAGTAGTTTTATTAACATTTTTTATTTTATAGGACTTTAAAATTGCTGAAATCTTATTATATATGTTAAATATCTTAAATGTTAGATATAAAAATATCCTAAGCCAGGCCCTGCTATTACTACCCTTTATATCTTTAGATAGGGCACCTAAACATCCTGAATTGTTTTCTTCATCTGTAAATTGAGTTGGTTCACATAACTTTAAGATCTCTTCCAGTTCTAAAATTCCATGATTTTTAATGTTTTATGTGTGCATATATATATATACACATATGAGACTCTCTACTCTCTCCCATGACTTGAAATATGTATCTTATAATACATACTTAAGTAGATCATAAGAATGCCAATGTAAAGTAGTTGGGTTCATTTCAAACTTTGGTATTTCTAAATTACTTATTTTATATAGTTGCTTTACTATTAGTAGAGTTAAGCTTACTGTATGGCCCTTTGGAAATGTCCCAAAAGCATTGGCAGGGATTCCACCAAATTTTTATTCTTTTCTTATGCTTTAAGTCCAGAGGAAGAGAGGCCTGGAATGATTTTAATTTAAAGGAGCAATGTTCTTAAACTGATTGCAAAATAGAAACTAAAATTTTTCAATGCTCCTATATCCAGTGACAGTGAAACAATACTTTATTGAGCTCATGCTCCTGGACTTAATAGTTCTCCATAGAGTTTTCACTGGAAGCTCACTGGCAAGGGCCACTTATAACTGTTATTCTGGATCTAATTTTCTTTTTTTTTTTTTTTTTTTGGTACCGGGGATCGAACTCAGGTCCTTGCGCTTGCACAGCAGGCGGCGAAACTACTGAGTTAAATCCCCAGCCCTGGATCTAATTTTTAAATTCTGTATATGTAAGCTTTCATGGAACAAAGTATTTTCAGTACTAGTATTTACATCATTGTTGGTGTAAATTCTCTTAAAACTATCTCTAAAGTATTCATCATACGTCATTTCCTCAAAGTAATCCTCTTAAGAAGCAGCTCATGAAAAATAGCTTTTAAGGAGGTGTTTTTTGGCTAATAGCATTCATTGTCAAAACAACAGCAAACAAAGTAAAATCTCTCTGACTTCACAGGGATGTTCTTGCTGTTGTGATTAAACTGTAAAATACTGCACAAATAAAATTGTTTTATTATTGAAAAAATGTTCTGATGTATCTGTTTTTATATTTGTTGGTGAATTATTATAATTTTTCTACCTGAAGTTGTGTTGAGTAGAGTACATAAACTATATTCTTCCAACTTTGAACTAGCTGTGGTACTTACTTATGCAAATTACTGTTTTAAAATGAGGGCAAAGGATTTTTTTGTTTTTGTTTTATTGTTTGTTTGTTTTTCCCCCTTTAACACTTTTAACACGTTCCTGCTGGCTTGAACCACCCATGGTATATGCATGAGTGTCCCATTGGGTAGCTTGTACCACCTAATAGGACTGTTGTGTGCTGCCTGATGGGACAGTCATGCCTATATGAATGTTCTACCAGTAGTTCAAGAGCTGCCTGGCAGCAAGACATATGAATTATGGCCCAATTGGGAATGTGTTAGATTATAAAGAGGACTGTTATTTATCATGATGAACAAATACATTGTAAATGATCTATGTAGGAAATATAGGAGGAAAATAGAATGGCAGTATTTGATAGGAGGGAACATCTATTATAAATCTTTGTAGTTTAATCTTCATACAATTTAAAGAACATACCAAAAATTTCATTGTTTGCCAGTAATTTTAAGTTTCTTTGTATTTTTTCATTACACTCAGATTACCTTGTGCTATGTTATGTAATTATTTCCTTTTCTTTATTTTTGCCCATTTAAGAATGTTGGTCAATCAAGTCAGAAAATTGACATATCAAGTTAATAATATGTGTATACACTTTTCCCTTTTTGTAATATTTTTGGATCTTCCAATAGAAATGTAATGTTACTAAACTGGTTTGTATTGAAGTGCTAATTAATGCTTACTTGGTGACAATGGTATATTTTGTAATGTCTAAATTCAGTAAACTTACTCTCTGATTTTCATTTCTATGAAGATTTGAAATATAGAATATATTTTATTAGTGTATATATATTAATATGTAAAATACTGAAATGAAAAGGTTTGTGTCATATATATCCATGTTCAAATGTAATTCTCAAGAAAATAGTTTAATTCTGCAAATTGATTAAAAACTTATCCCTATCCTGTACTTTTAACAGTGCAAGTTACCTTATCAAACTTCATAAGTTACTTAATGTAGATATAAATGAAACTAACAGTTTTCTCCTCCTTGTTCTTTATTTACAGCCTGGCTTACCACCTCAGAACTTTTCAATGTCTGTCACAGTCCCTGTGAGCAGCCCTAATGCTTTGTCCTACACTAACCCAGGGAGTTCACTTGTGTCACCTTCTTTGGCAGCCAGCTCCACTTTAGCAGATTCCAGCATGCTCTCTCCTCCTCCAGCCACATTACATAGAAATGTATCCCCAGGAGCTCCTCAGAGACCACCAAGTACCGGCAATGCAAGTATGCACCTGTTCTGTTGGTTTTTAAACAAAGAGAATGAAAAGTTAATTGCAAACCTAGGAAATTTCTTTTTCTGCCAGTCTTAATTTTATTTACTTGGCTAAGCAAGAGTCACTGTTACAGAGTTGGATCCATTTAAAAATTGTATCCTTTTTTAAAGTTGAATGTGAGCCATTATATTAGAAATACAGGAATAAACTTGCTGATGAGAGAGAGCATCTTTTGCATTTTCTCCTGTCTGAATTAGTTCAGTAATTCAGCAGAAAATTGCAGTGTCTGTGATACAGTGTGTCCCCTAAGTCTTAGATTTAATGGTACTCCGTATGCACTGTCTTCATTCTTACTTACTTGTGCTGTTTGGTATTGATGCACACAAAGGCAGACAAACCCAGAGCTTAGTAGTCGAGTGTGCGTGTGTACACACACGGTGTATAATTATATATGTTACATGTAGTTACACATTTATATACACACATGCATATGTATAACACTGTCAAGTTTCACATTAATGCCCACATCAGACTGAGCTAGTTGTATGTTTTTTAGGAATGGAGGGAGGGTTAACTTTTGTTCAGTTTGCATTCAGATATTGGAGAGTGAATTCATACTCATTCTCTGCCTTCTCTCCCCTCTGTAATGTTGTTAGGTGGCATGTTGAGCACTACAGATCTCACAGTGCCAAATGGAGCTGGAAGCAGCCCAGTGGGTGAGTGAATTCTATTGTGTAACTTTGTAGATATCTATCTTAACTAAGACAGAAAGAATATTATTGCTGAAACAAAGTCTTCTACCTTCTGAGGAAATTTTTTTCTTTTTTTTTTTGAGACAGGGTCTCACTAGGCAGTTCAGGCTGTTCTTAACTTGCTTTGTAGCCCAGGCTGGCCTCAAACTCATAGTGATCTTCCTGCATCAGCCTCCGAGTACTGAGATTACAGGCGTGTGCCATCATGCCTGGCTGCTCAGGGATACTTTAATACATAACATTTTCCCATAATACCCTATTTATTCCTTACACCTGGACCTTAAGTTCAGTTACTCATTTACTCAGTGCCTCCTTCATACCAGACATCATTGTTTTCTAAAGCCTAAGTTGCCTTCCTGTAGCATATACATCAAGATAGTTTCTTGGGTTTTCTAATCTTTCCTTTTCAAGACTGTTAGCAAACTGCTATACTGTGTCCTAGAGCAGCTTGAAATGTTATGAGAGAGATTGGAATGCAGAGAAATGATGGGCCTTCTTCTAGAGGTGCAGAGAGAACTGAAAAGTTCATCTCAAAGCTCTGCTTTGTTAGTCACCTAACATTTACACTGTTCTGTTTGCAGCCCGTTCATTCACTTTGAGGCTCCTCCCAAGATGACTAGCAGTTTAAATACACATCATAACTGTCTGACGTGCTGGAAGGATGGATTGTGATCATAACATCACAAAAACATAGTTATGTATGGCAAAAAAGTTACAAGATTAAGTGTAACCCTTTGGGTTTTCAGCACATTAAGTCATCCTGTTAATTTGTGATAATCACAGTTACCGTTATCATGATCTAAAAGCAAGAGCAGGGGGCCGGGGGTTTAGCTCAGTGGTTCCACCACCTGCCTCGAAAACGCAAGGTCCTGAGTTTGATCCCCAGTACCAAAAATAAAATAAGATAAAAGCAAGAGCAGGAATTCATTCCCTACTTAGATATAGTGTACGTCCTGGAGACATCTGAAAACAGATCACTTCCAGGAAATACTTCTAAATACTCATTCCACAAAATGTCAGGAGCTTCTGCCTTAAGGATATTGTGGAGATGATTCAGTGTCTTAAGAAAGTGATGAGAGACATTATTGAGTGAAGTGTTACAAAATGTATAGTGATTTCAAAGTAGGAATTAATGCCTAATTATGTCTGTACTGTGTAAAATGCTCTTTTAATGGAATTAAACAAATAAAACTTATTGTAGGGTCTTATTTAGCAGAAAACAATTAAATGTGAGAAAATATATGAAAGTGTTACCAATTAAGCCTGCTCATCTTATATGTATCTTTCCAAATATTTATAGCTTAGCTTTTAAACTTAATTTTGTTTGTATCCCACATACCTTTTTTGTATACATTTTCCCTTATGCTTCCTGCCCCACTGAAAGTTCAGAGCCCCCCTCCCCACCAGGGTTTGAAAAGCTTAGTATACTCCTCTCATGTTGGGGTGAGACTCCAAAAGGCTAGACTCTAGAAATAAAGTGAACCACATGTAAACAGTTCCTCTTTGTAGCTATATCTGATATTCGTATAATCCTACTTCTTGGAATTCTTTTTGACCTGAGCACCACTTAACATGGATCTTCATTTTATAATAAAAACTTGATCCACAATTTTTTTTGTAAATTTTCTGTTGGCAATAAAAAAGTTTTTAAAATAAAAGTAATATACTAGCTAGAAAAAGGGAATGATAGCCATAAATATAAAGGCATTTTTAAAGTTATAAGAGACCCTAAGGTACCTTGAATGCTATTTGTGCTATTCCAAAATCTAAAGAGGAAATATTTCATAGACACACACAGAGAAAGATTTTGTGCAGCCTTCTGGGTCTTTGCATGTTCGCTTCTACATGTGGCAACTAGAGCTGCAGCATTTCTGTAGAGATGAGGGGGTGAGTTGAGAAAGCAGCCAGTGTGCTGCAGATGGCAAAGTGGGAAGCTGAACAGGTCCTTGCTCTTCAGCACTGAAAGCACACGGGCCTAGAGTCACTCTTATTCAGTCTTACATAATAATAGTTCCTCATTCTTAGGAATAAAAGTAAATAAAATACAAGCCACAGTTAGGGGAATATTTATAAGGGGATAGGCTTTGTGCCTAAATACATAATCCAAAAAAGAAACCCAACTAATATTTTTAAAATTCAAAAGATACTCAATTATTGGTAGTTATCATGAAATTCAAATACAAATGGCAAAAACAAAAAATGACTTAGAATGCCCAGCTAGTATCTCTTTTTATTGTAATGTGCAGAACTGAAGGAGCCTTGGTGAAACTGGTAATCTCATATGTGTTTTTGTGGCCTTGTAAATTACTGGCAATCTTTCTGGAAATATTTTGGCAAAATATTTCAGTAGTTACAAAAATGTTTATACCTCTAAAGCCATTAATCACATTTCTGGGAATCTCTCCTAAGGAAGATAATTAGAATCTGCAAAGGTTCATTGCAACATTATTTGTAATGAATAATAGGATAATGATTAATAGGAAAAATCAACATATTCAACAATAAACATTAAGTAAATTTCAACTGCCTTCCTTTTTACTTGTAATTTAATCTATGCAAAAATCAGCATAGATTATTTTCTGTGGAAAAATATTCACATAGAAAATTTAAAGGAAGGAAAAATTCAAACTGAATATTAAAGTTAGGATGGTGGAAATGTAAGCATTTTCCCTCTTTTTCTATTTTTGAACTTTCTTTAATAGTAGAATATAGAATAGAAAGAACTACTATAGAATAGTAGTTATAGTCCTAACATTTTTATCATAATTTAGGATGTTGTTTTCCCGCATATAGTGGTAATTTTTTATTTTTCATCTATGTCATTGTATATGCAAATTAAACCTGACAGCATTATACATATTGCAAGGACCTGTGTTTAAATATTGAGCATAAAGTGAAATCATAGATATCTGGCAACTTGGCTTTTAAAAAAACATGTTGAGAAAGAGAATATATTGGATTAGAACTAGAAAAGCTCAAGAATTGGAATTGTTTAGGGTTGAATGAAGGTAATTATGGGTTTTCATGGTAGCAGGGCAGTGGCAGTTAAAAAGAAGAGCTGAGTGGGGGAAACATTTTAAAGAAGGATTAACAAATCTTGGTACCACCATGAAGGTAGGATGGGGTGGTAAAGGATGACAGTGGCACAGATGTTTAAAACTGCCTAAGCTGAGATGACAGCAGCGTATCTTGAGGGGGAAATGGCCACCTGGTGGTTAGTTATTAACCAGAACTTAAGAGAGATAAAGCAGAAACCCAGATTTAAGAGGCATTCACATTGAAGGCCTACATGCTTCAGCCATCCTGTTGCATGAGGGTTATGAACATGTCTCTCCCCGGGAGAGACTGAGAGGGAGCATAAGGAGTACATTATTTGGAAGGCAGGATTCCATGAGCATGTATGTTTTTTATTACAAATTTCTAATGACCAGGATCCATGTTTGCCCATCAGATAGGAATTATTAAGTGAGGATGTCACCAATTATTTCAAAATCGGAGGTCTTTCAGAAACTTCAAGCAGTTTTTTATACAAATGACATAATTTTAAAACTTGAAAGGTATTTTGCTTATGTATTGGATTATCAGCTAAATGTCAGATTTTATGGAAAATTGTCAAATATAATAAAATCAGTGTTTGAACTTTGCATTAGTTGGTGCTTTCAGAGTCCTTTGAAGTTTGGTTGTCAGTTGGACTTCTAAAATTGATTCATAATAAAACATTAATGACATCATTGTCTACAGTTTAGACCTAGAAGGAGTAGTAAGACACCGAATGTTGGCCGGCCACTTCAGTGCATTATTTCAGCTGCTGAGGTTTGTGTTCTGAAATATCAGCCAGGTTGACATAATTGAATGACCTGCCTTACAGCTGTCAGACCATAATCGAGATTAGGTCTTTTAAATTTCTAAAAGAATGCTGTGCAGTGTTCAAGAGGTTTTTTTTCACATTTGTGTTAGAGTTGTAAATTATGATGAAAACTTACATTTTAGCAGTAACTACATTAAACTAGGTTTATTCATTCAAGGTAGACACTTTAATTTCTAAAATAAGTTGAGGCAAGATAAGTTTTATTTTTTGAAAAAATCTACCTCAAAAATCTGTCTCAACAATATTTTTATCATAAAAATTGAACTGGTAGGGCCGGGGGTTTAGCTCAGTGGTTCCGGTGCCTGCCTCACAAGTACAAGGTCCTGAGTTCGATCCCCAGTACCAAAAAAAAAAAAAATTGAACTGGTGATATGAAGTCTTATGTTGGGTAATATATCACTATGTAGTACTGTACAAAAGAACAGGTTGTGCATATGAAGTTAGCTTTAGTCTGGTAGTTACCAAACACACCATACCATAATCACCTGGTGCAGACTCGTGACTTTTCACTAAGATACTGTACTTCCAAATTCCCTTTCACTCTTGCAATTTGATTCTCATGAGTTATTGTGGTACCACATAAAAAGCATTATAGACTCCACATGGTAGCATTCATGCGTGTTGATGATGTGTTCACATATTTGCGTCATCTTATAGTGCGATTGAGAGGAAATACTACTTTATCCTTTGAGTCCAAGACAAGTAAATCTTACAAGTATCAGAGATTCAGAAGATACATTTATACCATTATACATTGAGAAACTTTGTTAATCTGACATTCTCAGAGTGGTATGCAGTATGAAATTTATTAAACTGGTTTATCTGTCACCCAACTCAGGGATGAGGTCTACTCCACAAGGTATGGGCTAGTGAAGAGCTGGTGTTTTTGAGTAGCACTGCTTTCTGAAAGCATAACAGGTTGTAGGAAATTGTTCTGTTGGGATATGGAAAGGAGATACAGCCCAGATTTAATACAAACCCCTTCAAGATAATGGAAACGATGCAGGAAATAACCTCATAAGGTTAACTGAAATACCAGACCCTACAGCAAAATTAAATCACAGAAATGAGTTAAAACTAGTGGGTTAGTTGGTAAAAGTTTTGGAGAATTGGGTGATAGGTGGAGAAGGGAAAACCACACCAGCCATCTGGAACCTTGAATTCTGAGTGAAACCTGCTAGAGAGAAGCAGGTAGTTCTGAGTGCCATACCTCACCTTTGTTTTCTATCCCCTTTGGTACTCAGATACCACACTTGAAAATGTAATGGTTAGAATTCAACAAAGTTGATTATATCATCACTTTGGCACTATTAGTTTTTAGTTTTCTGTATAAATAACTCAAATAATATGTCTTTTCCAAATTCATTATAAGTAGTTGGGTATCTTAAAGGTTCCATTTGCTTTAGCAGGTTGTCATTATAAACTCTTAATCCATCTCTTCCTAGTTGTGTATTTTTTATTTTTCAGAAATTATCTGGTGTTTATCAAGTGACCCTATTCATTATTTAATGAACTTGAAGTGCTTTACAAATGGCAGAGAACTGTACAGATGTTAAACAGTTTTAAATGATCATACTATTCCCTTCAAGAAACTTCTGTAGAATTAAAATGATATGAATATCAGTACAAAAGCTCTTCAAGTGAAAATATACATCTGTTGGGCTGAGGATTTAGCTCAGTGGTGCTGTTGCCTGCCTTGCAAGCGCAAGGTCCTGAGTTCGATCCCTGGTACCAGAAAGAAAAGAAAATATTCATCTATCAACTTGTTGCAGTTCTTCAGAGCAAATGATTTCATTTCTCAGGGCAAAATTATTAGGAAGAATTTTAGACCAGTGTTAAACACACAGTAGACACCCACTTTTGGTTAGTCTTTTCATATATGTAAACATAAGGGTGGGCTGTGTGTGTAACATGTCAACTGTTAGCTTCTTATTTTTGGTGGATTCTCAGGTGTTCTCTTTTGCTTTTATACAGGAAGGAAAGGAGCAGAATAAATCGAGCTACCCACTTCTTCCTTTTATCACTGGAGCCATAGATACTCTAGGCTTCTCTGGCTGCCCCCCATCATTCATAGTTTGTTCATTCAGGCTGGATTGAGTGCATTATTTTCTTATATTTATCCATTAGCCTTACCTTCTGTTTTCTTCTCTCGTTCTTCTATCCTTTTCTACTGCTCAGTAGCTCGTCCCTCAAGGATTTCCCTAAGTAAACACAGATACTTGTGGACAGTGCTCACTTTCTAGTTCCTTGTTAGTTTTGTGTTGTTACCCTTAGTTGTGTTGCTTTTACCCTTATCTTAAGTATAATTTTATTCATGCCTATGTGGTATGTGCTTGTTCTTGCTAACTAGAGAAAAGGTGACTTGAAGACTATGTAGGGTTGTATTCTTTTGTTTTATCTCCCTTCCTATGTAAATGAAAATGTAGAACTTGGAAATAGTAAAGGTAGTGCTATACTATTAACCTGATTTTAGATGGTTACAACTACTGATGACATATGAATGCTGAGTTCCACCCAAATCCAAAAGGCCTCTTCAAGCCTTCAGGAGCTTTCAGTTCACTTTTCTGAATATTTTGTTCATGGTAAGCTTTATAATAAACACTAAGAATGGAGTTTTTCTAGTATATGTTTGTGATACATAATAATTGCATTCATCTTGGAGAACTGGTACATATACCTATCTCATCTTGATCATTATCCCCTTCCCCTCTCTGTCCTCCAGAAACACTTTGCGTCTCCACCAAGTCTACCTCCCAGTTTCCTGTCTCTTTTATTTTGCTGTTTAAATTATTTATATTTTTGGTCCATCATATTAAAGAAACCATATAATATTTAATCTTTTGGGCCTGATTTATTTCACTTAGTATTATAGTCTCAAGATCCATCCATTTTAGGAATGAAATTCTTAAGCCAACAAATTTATTTTATACCGTGCTCTTAACCTCTATGTATTATAATAATACTCAAAATAGAATAATAGTACATTATTCTTGGCACTAAGTCTATTACTAAAAGCAAACATATATGGTAAACCTAAAGTTCTTTTTTTTTTTTTTTTTTTGGTACCGGGGATCGAACTCGGGTCCTTGCGCTTGCGAGGCAGGCAGCGAAACCACTGAGCTAAATCCCTGGCCCTAAACCTAAACTTCTTTATGTTTTGTTTTTAAAATTCATAGTTTTTATGGGCAGTTAACACTTAGATTTAGCAATTAAGTTTTCACAAAATATTTTTATAAATATATTGATTGTATGGTCAGTGTTGTTTTCTAGCCTTCTCTGCTTTATTTGCAGTTTACTTAGAAATTGAAATCACAAATGATATATATTCTGTTTTATAAATGAATATTTATTATATGTTCCTGTGCTCAGTACTTTTACTTAACTATTATTTATGTGATTATTTCCCCTTTTGGACAGAAGGCTGGTGATTAGTAGCTAATTCTTTTAGGTATTATCAGCTGCAAGAAACAGGAAGCTACATTAGGCTTAAATAGTACACAGGATTTATCATTAACTTGTAAGTGATACAAAACTATAAACATGGCTGAGGGCTTTTACTTCCTTTCTTTGCTATTGTCTTTTTTGCATTAGCCTTTTTCTCATTCTGACTTTCTTCTGAGTCTCAAAATGACTTAAGAATAATACACTTCTTTAGTCAGAGTGGAATGTGTTGGGTCCCTCACAGCCAAAAAGCAGCTTATTTACTTAGGTTTTGGGTGGTCATTCCTGAATCACTGTGGCAAGGGAGAATGCTCTCTATTTCTTGCCTTGGATCTGAGTCAAAATGCCTGTCCTCCAACCTAGCCTGTAGCAAGGGGGTGGGGCTTGAAGGGGAGTCAACCCCATCACATGGCTGCTATTAGAATATTCATGAAAAGAAGAGGTCTCTTACCTTTATTTTGTATCTCATCTGGTCCCTGGAAATGCTGTGTAGATAGAACATATGCCACAATATATGCCCATTTCCTTATTCACCCAAGAGATAGATGGTTCTGTCAGGGGAAGCTTAAAAGTAGCAATAAAATGATTAAAGTTAGATTAACCACAATTATTTAGCAAGAGCCTTAATGGAAGCAGAAGAAAAAGAGCAGGGAGAAGTAAAGCCACAAGGAGAAGTATTTGATGAAAATGAAGCATTAGTGCTAAGTGCTAAATAAGCTACAGTTTAAGGAGTTGCCTGAAACCTGAGTCAGTACCCAGAACCTAGTAGCAGTGCCTTTGTCACATGACTGAATGAGTAGGCTGGTCTCAGGCTTAAAAAAAAAAAAGTCTTATTATCATAATCTCCAATATGAGATGATCCTTAGAAATGTGTGTTGTACTTTAAATGCCTTTCACCCCAGGTCCAAGCAATAATGCTGGAAACAAGTTGCATTAGTCTTAAGCTCTATATGTATTTCAGACAGGTTGACTTTCTTTGCTTATTTTAAAATACTGAAAGATACATGGTTACTGGTGAGTTTTATTAAATTCATTTGCAAGTGGGGACTGGGGAAAGCATGCTTTGTATATGTGACAAAATATTTTAATAATTCTTTTCTTTTCATGTTAATCTTTTCTCCAGGGAATGGGTTTGTAAACTCAAGAGCTTCTCCAAATTTGATTGGAAATACTGGTGCAAATAGTTTAGGCAAAGTCATGCCTACAAAGTCTCCCCCTCCACCAGGTGGTGGCAATCTTGGAATGAACAGTCGAAAGCCAGATCTTCGAGTTGTCATTCCCCCTTCAAGCAAGGGCATGATGCCTCCTCTGGTAAGTCAGACCTCCTTTAGCTTCATTCTTCAAAACACACATTTTACACGTCTCAGTGTATGTTTTCCTTTGGAATTTTGCATACCTCCCTAGAGTCCATACTTTTTCCTAATGCGTATTTCTATTCAAAACTACCATTTGAAGAGACAGGTCTGTTTTAAATACACAAAAATTAGATTATGGAAAAATAGGAAATAAATTTTGCTTAATGCTTATTTAAAATTAAAGCTAAATATGGAGGGGTTATTATCCTTAATTTTAACAGCCTAGAATCTTTGCTTAGAGATCTCATTTCCAAGTTTGTAAATTAAACATGATTTATTTCATCTCTGTGCTTTTCATATTTTCATCTGTTTCCTACTTTTCTGTGAGAGAACTAGTAAATTATTTGTTACAGAACCCTATATACCAAAGAGAGAACTATTGTTGAATAGGGAATATGTATACAAACTTGAATGGGTTATTCTCCAAATAATTTTCTTTGCTTATTCCTTCTCAAATGACATTTCTATGTAACTCTGTAAAAGATGCAGTACCCCCCTTGACAGTGTCTTCAGAGCCTTAGCTTCATTTGCTTTTGAGTCCTAAGTCTGTGTTCATGAAGAGTAGGAAAATATGTTTATCCTCCTTAACTTCTTGTAGAAAAAAATTAGAATATATATGCAGGTTTTAAAATCATTTTTAGTTTAGCAACTGTTTGGCTGCTACCAGCTGCTAAACTTTCTGTTTGTGTTTTTGCTAAGTGAAAGTGATGCTGTCAGGCTTAAGTAATAATTCCATATTAGTGTAATGCTGGGCCGGGGATTTAGCTCAGTGGCACCACGCCTGACTTGCAAGCGCAAGGTCCCGAATTCGAGCACCAGTACCAAATAAAGAAAATGCATAACGTATTAGTGTAATGCTTTATAGATTCTGAAATATCCTATATGCTTTCTCTCATTTGATTCTCAATTAGACTGTGATCATGGCTAGGTAGTGATGAGAGAACTGAGATAAAGGTTACTGTGCTTGTCCACGGTGGTGTGAAATCAGGACTGTAAGTCTTAATCTTTCTAAGTTTTAAGCTCTGGGTCAAAAAACAAACAATACTTTTTCATTTGGCGATACATAAAGCTAAAAACTGAATCACTCCCAAATTTACAGTGAAAAAAGTTGAACATACAGCAAACGCAGTTTTTCTTGAATTATCCTAGTGCTGAGATTTCAGGGCAACCAGCTGGCCCGGAGGACAGGGCAAGGCAGGTAGTATGGGGAGAAATGACATAGGAGCACTGGGCAGCGCACAGGTGATGAGAGCTGAGCTGGAGTGATTAGTGAGTTGCTGGAGGCCAAGTGTGTACTCGTAGGAACCTTTGAAACTGCTGGGGCCACAGTGTGGATTGAGTCCATTTTCTCCTATAGACTTGCTTTTTTTTAACCCTTGAGCCCCACTGGGTGTTTCCGATGAAGGAGGAGGGCTGTCCTGAAAAAGCCTCTCTTAGATAACACAACTGGGAGAGGGGTGAGTGGTCACTACCGTCAGGGCACACACATGTGAGCGTACATTCAGACTGCTAAAGCTAAAAGCTAAAGGCTTATCTTAAAGACAACCAGAGAAAAGAGACATACTACATATAGAACCAAGAAACACTAAAACTATACTTCTCTTCAGAATCTGTGCAAGGTAGGAAACAATGGAGTGTATATATTTAATGTGCTAAAATTTAAGAAGACCTCTCAACCCAGGATTCTATATCCAGCAAAAAATGTTTCAAAAACAAAGGCAAAAGAGAGACTTCTGAAACAAAAATTATGGGAATTTATTGCCTGTAGAGCTCTGCAAGAAATGTTAAAGAAACACCTTCTGCAGAAGGAATGATAGCATCAAAAACTTGAGTCTACTCAAAGAAATATGGAAGTGATATAAATGGAGATAAATTATTTTTCTCTACTTTTTGTTAGCTTTTTAGGATAGTTTTTAATTTATAGAAATATTAATATCTTAGTATGGAACATTTGTTAAAATTAATGGACTAATATTTGATGGTATGTTAACTAAAGTCTCTATTTTGATTTCTTTAGTTTTTAACTTCATGTCTTTTTCTGTTCCAGGCTCTAATCCAGGATATGCCACATTACGTTTAGTAACCATGTCTCCATAGACTGTTGGCTATAACAGTTTCTAAGATTTTCCTTGCTTTACTGACCTTGACAGTTTAGAGCAGTCCTGGTCACTGTGTAGAATGTCCCTCAGTTGAGATTTGTGTGATGTCTTCTTTTCAGCTTGGGGTTATTACTTTGAGGGAAGAAGGCTATGTAATTAAAGTGTCACTTACATCATATCATATCAAGGGTGTGCGCTATCGGCATAACTATTAGTGTTCATGCTAACTTGGTCACCAGACTGATGAAGTCTTTCGCAGGTTTCTCTGCTATAGACTTACTCTTGCCTTCTTTCCATACTGTAGTCATTAGAAGTCCTTACCTGTAGCCCTCACTTAAGGAGTAGGGGGTTATCCTTCACCTCCTCAAGGGAAGAATGCCTACATAAATTATTTAGAGTTTTTCTGGTGCAAGAGATTTACCTATTCTTTCTCATTTGCTTCATCATTTATTTATACATGTAAATATGGACAGGCACTTATTTTATACTTCGGTATATAATATAGTGATATATTATCATACCACTTTTTTGTTCAAATTGTTCTAGCTTTAGCTTTTGGGAGCTATTCACATGGTATCTGTATCTCTTTGACAACCCCTTGTCCTTGTGCTTTGTGGTTTTTGTTTTGAGGGAAGGGCAGGGTACTTTTTTACTTTCTGAAAGTGCAGTATGCTCCAGGCTCAACTTGTGTTTTTTCTGCCCCAGTCCTACAATGAGGTATTCCTCCAAGGAACCTTGGTAACTTTCACAGGAGAGAGGTATGAGAAGCCATAATCTAGGTGTTCTCCTTTTTAATTACTCCATAAGACTGCTGACTTTATAAGGTAAAAATAGTGGTAATGCATTTTGTGTCTATAGCACATGTAAAAATAAAATATGAGGCCGTACATGGTGACATACATCTGTAATCCCCGCACTGCGAGAAGCTGAGGCAGGAAGGTGACAGGTTCAGCCCAGTCCGAGCAACTTAATGAGAGTCTCTGTCAAAGAAGTGAAAAGGTCCGGGCTGTAGCTCAGTGGTACTGTGCCCCTTGGTTCAATCCCCAGTATTAGAAGGAAAAAGAAAAAGACAAAAAAGGTGGAAAAGAAAAACTGAAAATACGTTGTTATAGGTTAGAATACATCATTTACAAGATAGATTGTCAGATTTGTTTAAAAGCAACCAAAAAAGAAGACAAGAAAGACTAAACATTGTTACTACTACCTATAAGAAGCCACTTTTAATATAAAGACATAAACAGAAAAATAACACCATGCAGACCACAATTAAAGGTAAAATTGATGTCATAATTTTGGACAATGTAGACTTATGAAAATAAATATAATCGAGGAAAGAGGGCCATTACGTGGCCCATTTTCCAAAAAATAACTGCTCTTTAATATGTATGCATCTAATAGTAGACCTCCGCAGTACATAAAGAGAAAACCGATAGAAAGGTAAAATAGAAAAATCAGTAACAGACACCAGGAAATTCTGTATACAGTATATTTAGAAATTAAACAATACATTTTAGCCTTGGGAGGTTAAAGTACACAGAGGAAATCTCAAGAAAACATTTTTTAAAATACAGCGTAGTAAAAATGAAATTACAACATATGTAAATTTTGAGGACCAGCTAGAGTAATGCTGAAGAGAATTTATGGCATTAAATGCTTATATTAGAAAAGATGGAAGATAATATAAGCTTTTATCCTGAGGAACTTGAAAGGCAAGAACAAATTTAAGTGAAAGCAATTAGAGGGAAGAAAAATTAATAAAATTAGAAACAGAAAAACAAAGGAGACAGGAATCAAACCAAAAGTTGATGTTGAAAAGATCCAGTGAGATGTCTCTGTGCTGAATGAAGAAAAGAGAAGATCTAGGTTATAAATATCAAGAATGAAAGAGAGCATGTCCAAAAGATAGTAAACGATAGTATGAGAATACAGTACTATATGACTCTATTCTGCTATATTTGATAGCATAGGTAAAAAGGTCAAATTCCTTGAAAGATGCAAACTACCAAAGAGTTGCTAAACTTATTGAAGTTTTTTTTTGAAGTTCTGATAGTTAATTTTAATGTCAAATATCTATGAAAGAAATTGAATTCCTAGTTTAAAAGGCTTCCAAAATAGAAAATTCCAGATCCTGATGGTTTCATTGGCAAATTCTGTCAAAATTTGAGGAAAAATTAATACCAGTTCTGCATTCTCTTTCAGAAACCTAGGAAAGAACACATCCAAACTCATTTCATCAGGCTAGCATTGCCCTAATACAAAATCAGTGTAAGACATTACAGGAAGAGACAACTACAAACCAATATCCTTCATGAACTCTACACATAGGAAGCCTCAGCAAAATATTAGTAAATAAATTCAGCAATATATAAACGGTATATATTAAGACCAAGTAGGTTTCATCCCGGGAATGCAAGGATAATTCTACATTTGAAAATTCACCAGTATAATTCCTCCATGTTAACAGAGTATAACATTTATTCATGATGTTAAGAAAAACATGCTAGGAATAGAAAGGAGCAACCGATAAGGAGCATCTACAAAAATTTTAATTGATGATACACCAATAAGGGGGAAACATTCAGTTTTTTAAATTAGCACACACATTTGGCATTGTACTGGAAGCCCTAGTCAGTACAGTTAAGAAAAATAAATATACAAAAGTCCGTTGTATTCTTATGCCTGCAATAGATAATTCAAATTAGAAATTTAACATAATACCGTCTCCCAGAAAGGAAATAGTTAAGTACAAATATAACAAAATATATGTTCAGTGTATATGCTGAAAACTACAAAACACTAATGAAAGATCAGTTTACCTAAATGAAAGAAATGCATTATGTTAGTGGATTTGAAAACATTGTCAAGATGTCACTTCTCAAATTGATCGAAATCAAACAATACAATCACAGTTGCACCAAGCTTTTTTGTAGAAATCAACTTAATTCTAAATTATATATACAGAAAGGCAAAGAAACAATAATAACCAAAACAATTTTGAAAAAGAACCAAACAGACTGAGTTGAAGACCTCCTGTAAAGCTATAATAACTGAGGATGTCAGGTGTCAGCAAACGAATGGCCCCATGGATCAATGGACAAAATGGCCCAGAAAATAATCCCATATAAATATTATCATATTCAGCTGTTTTTTAGCAAAGGTAGTGAGACAGTTCAGTGGAGAAAAAGTAGCTTTTATAGCTAGCTAATAGTGTTGGAATAATTCAACATTGATATCCAAAACAATGAAACCTTAATACATACTTTTTACTTTATATAAAAATTAATTCAAAATGGATCATAGATCCAGATTAACACATGAAGCTGTGAAACTTACAAGATAAAACATAACTCTACTAAAGCATGATCTATTAAAAAACATTGATATATTAGAATTCATGAGAATTTGTTTTGCTGTATGAAATGTACTCTTCAAAGAATCAAAGGACAACCTACAAATTAAGAGAAAATATTTGCAAATCACATATACAAATAAAAGACCTATATTTGTAATACATAAAGAGTTCTCTCAAGACAATAAAAATATAACCTAATTTTTTTTAATGGGGACAAGATTTTTTTTTTTTTTTTGGCAGTGCTAAGGATTGAACCAGGGTGTTATGCATGCTAGGCAAGTGGTCTATCACTGAACTATACCTCTAGCAACAAGATCTTAACAGATACTTTAAGAAGAAGGCAATGTACATAACAACCATATGAAAATGTGCTCAGTATCATTAGAGAAATGCACATTAAAACCACAATCAGATGTGACTACATACCTATTAGAATGGCTAAAACTTTAAAAATAAAATGAAAGTGCTGTTGAAAATGCAGAGCAACAAGAACCCATGTATTCCTTCTTGGAATGCAAAATGATACAGTCCCTTTGGAAGAGCTGGGCAACTTCTATGAACTAGATATATACTTGCCATATGACCCAGCAAGACCCCTTGTATTTACCTAAGTGATATAAAAACTGTACTTATGTAATTTCCTGTGTTTTTTGTAACTGAAAAACTGAGAATAGCCCAGATGTCCTGCAGCAGTTGAAGGGATATATACTGTTTGGTTCATGCACAAAAAGGAATATTACTCAGCAGTAAAAAGGAAGGCTCAGTAATACACATTAGTTGGTATAAATCATATATTTTCTAGCTCGGTCTGCTGAGAGGTATATGAAGTAATGATACCCAGTAATCTGAGAATGGTCAGATTTTAGTTCCTAAACACCACCCTCTAATTCAAAGAACTCGGGCCCCATGGAGAAGAGAGTAGTTTTAGAACTGGCTTGAAGAAATACAAGATGAGCCAGAGGCAGCAAAGAATAAGAAAGTGCCTATCAAAGGTCACAGGAACTAGCCTTCCAAAAGAGTTCCCAGTGACCAAGTGGAACAATTTGAGTAACAAAATAAATAATAGTTTTGGCTTATAACCCAAGGAATAGTAAGAGTCTATTATTGATATGATTGATAGAATAAATAACAAGTAAAAGCTCTTCTTTACGGAGAAATTCTAATGAGTAGATGTGAAAGAATAAGAGGAATGGTAACCACATAGAACACCACAGTACAAGGGCACTGGTTGCAGGCAAAGCCAGTCAATAAATGCTACAATTAGCAAAAAGTTTAAAGTGAAACACGATACTTACACAGCCTCAAAATGTCTCTCCCCAAATATTTGTTTCTTACAAAGGGAAAAATAGTATTTATACACTACCTTAACTTAGTCACCAGTATTAAGTAAGACAAAAAAGATGACATGCCTTCTGTCATGGTGTGCTAAGATTATATAGCTCTGTAATAGTCTTCCAAAAGTCCATGCCTTCTCTCAAGGAATAAACATAAGACACACCCAGATTGAGAGACATTCTACAAGATACCTGAGTAGTGTTCTCCAAAAGTGCCAAACTCAGCCGGGATGGGGTGTGATAACACACATGTATAATCCTAACACTTTGGGAGGCTGAGACAGGAAGATTATGAGTTTGAGCCCAGGAACAGCAACTTATCAAGGCCCCATCTCAGAATCGAAAAATAAAAAAGGAATAGGGATGTAGCTCATTGTGAACACCCTGTGTTGGGGGTTGGGGGGTGCGGAGGTCAGGAACCAAAGTAAGGAAATACTGAAGAACTATTATAGGTCAGAGATCAAGGATCCATGACAAGTAAATGCGTATGAGATCCAGGATCTGCTTCTGGGTTAGAAAAAGGATATTGGTAGAAAGACTAGTGAAACCCAAGTAAAATCCAAAGTGTTAATGAGGGCTGCTGTTCTGTTAGTTTCAACTATTGTATCTTGTTCCTTTGGGATATTAACCTTGGGCGAAGCTGGGCAAGAGTGTGAGGGGAGCTGTCTATACAGCTGGTCTCTAAGTCGAAAATTATTTCAGAATAAACTGTTTAAAATGCACACATACAGAACAAAGAAATATGTTCCAAAAAAGCCATTTTGACTTACTTTTCAGGAGCCAGATGTGTAATACCTGCTACTACCTTTTAGAAATTTTGTTTTTAATTACAAAAAGTTTCATTTAGTAAAGGCACAAAAATAGGTTTGTAAGAACTATTACTAAATTGCAGTGCTTAACAAGAAAATGGATTTAGACATTAGGAAACTGGGTGATAAAATTATAACCAGGGTTTTTTTTTAAGAAATGAAGCCTTTTTCTTTTTTTTCCATTTAGTTTATTGGTAATTTTAGGTATACAATGCAGTTATATTCTCCATTGTGATCTTGTACCTTTACATGATGTATCTTGGTTCTTATTTTTTCCCCATTCCTCTGCCCTCCCTTCACCCCCTCCACCCTTCCCTACTTACAAAGACTTTGTTTCCATGTTTTTCCTTTTCTCAAATTTTTTCTTTTCCCTTCTTTCCTGTCCCCTTCCCCTCCCACTTCCCCTATTCCTTTAGACATTTTCTTCCTATTTCACAATATCAGTTATACATTTTAATCCTTATTTACACTTTTAGGTTTTCACACCAGAGAAACTATTTGGTATTTACACAAGTGTATCCTATTTGTTTCACTTAGACTATGGCCTCAATGTGCATCCATTTAGCTATAAATGTCTCTAGTTTCTCATTCTTTATGGCTGAGTAGTACTCCGTTTTATTTAAAAACCACATCTTCTTTATCCAGTCTCCAGTTGATGGACACTTGGGCTGCTTCCAAGCTTTAGCTATTATGAACTATGCTGCTATATGGGTGCACATATATCACTGTAGTATGATTCTTTTAATTCTTTGGGGAAGATACCGAGCAGGGGAATAGCTGGGTCAAATGGGACCTCTAGCCCTAGTTCTTTGAGTATCTCCATACTGATTTCCACAGTGGTTGCACCAGTCTGCACTCCCACCAACAATGGAGAAGGGTAAGGGTTCCTTTCTCCCCACTAGAAATGAAACCTTTTTGCAGAAAACTTGCCATATAAGCTACACTGTAACCCCTATAGGTTAAAGTGAAAACTGTTTCACACAAACATAGCCCTGGTGTTTGACACTACAGTACTTTGTTGTGCACCTTGTAATTGGAGCGATGCAGTGATGATGTATATGAAACACAGTAGCTAAGGCTCCTGTCAGCCACAGTGAGGTAGCAAGTGTAGGGCAAATGATTGTTTTGTAGTCAGCCTCCCTCCTTTCTCCCCATTCATTTGCAGAAAAACCTGCCTCAGGATTGGGGCTTCCTGTATCAGTGGAGACACTTCACAGACTGAGAAAGAAACGACTTACTCAATGAAAGTGAAGGAAAAAAGAACACCTAAGGAGTAGATTGTGTCTAGCATATTTTATAAATGTTTGAAAGAAAATGAGCAAATACGTTTCTTTTCTCTCCTGTTCATTTATCGGTTCATTTCTCTTCACTCATTTTTTTCATATTCATGGTTTCTCTCCATTAAAATTATTCTATGAATGTGTGAACTGTTATCTGCAAATAATAAACCTGTAAAAAACTGTTTTATGTACTGACAAATGTTTGAGTTCCTGTTTCATAACACTGCTCTGGCTATGTGGGAAATAAAGCATACCACAGTTCTGGGCCTACCAGGGCGCACAGAGTCTAGCCAGGAGATACATGGACGTGTGTGACCTGGTGGGCAGGGATGGGAGGATTAAGATGTAAGTACAGAGTATGCTTGTGGTTCCAAATATAGACTGCTGTCATGATTAGGAAACTATCTAAATGTTGCAGAAGTGTGACTGTGTAGGAGAAGCCAGGGTAAGAGCAGATGAGGGGGCGGGTGCTCTTTAATAAATCCTGGCCCTAAAGAATTGAAAACAATTCTCTGGTCTTGAAAAATCAGCTACAAGTTTAAAGACAACAAGTACTATTTGTTGTGTGCGTTATCATCTCTAGAGTTCCCAAGGAATTGTAGGGTCCTAAAACCATGTTTTTCTAAAGAAATATTTTGTTGCAAGTACCAACAGTCTTAGTAACTCTCTTATCCCTCTTATGTGCTGAGTACAGTCGGAGGAAGAGGAATTGGAGTTGGTGAGTGCGGGTTTTTTGCTTCAAGGGAGTTGAAAAAGATGTAGAAAGAACTAATTCTCTTAAATGTTTTTATCTAACCAATGCTCTTTTGTTACAAAGATAATTTTCTTGTGTAAAAACACCCTCCAAATGCCTTTTTTTAAAATCATGCTTTCATGGTTAAATCTACTGGTACTACAGATTCCAGTTTTTCTATTTAGAATGTATGTGTTGGAGGGAACATTAGAATAGAGCCTTTAAAAACAGTTGCTGTCCATGAGGACAGGGTACTTGTTTAAAGATATTTTAAAGGAAAGATCCAAAATACCTTATATAGCTTTCCAAATTATTAAAACATTTTTAGAAAATGACTTCACCCTCAAAGTTCCTCAGATTGTAACACAGACTTGTGTTATTTCTCTTTCTTTCAAAAAGATTACATCATTTTTGGTGAGGTCACTTTTTTCAGAGTTGGAATTATTTCATCCTGCATGAGACAATCTGAACCACAAGGGGGTTCCCTGTTTACTAAGAGGAATATCTGTAATTGAACATACTCAAATTTACTTTTCTATCAAGATATTCTGTTCTATAAGCAGCTATTAATTTTTTTCTCCAAAACAAATGTTTTCCATTGCTTTTCCTCTAGAAAATAAACCTGACTGAAAATAACTTGCAGCTAGTCTATTTCATCTTTGGGAACTATAACCTAGACTTCACAGAAGTAATCATGTGCATTCGGAGTCAGCTGTTAATTAGATGACTCTAAGGGGAATAAAAAGTTGAAAACACACCGGTTTTAGCATGGGTAGGGTTAAGAGTGCATGCGAGCATGGGGTAAAGGTTTCAGTTGGTTTTACTTATATTTTATTATTACATGTTGATGCATGCTATTGTGTTTTGAGAAATGTCTTTTCAAATATGACTCTGTGCTCTATTCTTAAAATATGAGGTGGTTCTTAGCTTTGTGATCATTCTCAATTTTGGATGTGATTTTATATTGGTTAACTGAAATACTTTTGTCACCTGTAAATGTAGTATTAATTGTATTATGAACATATTTTGGGGGAATATGTACTTAATTACATCATAATTATTAGCAAATGAAGTTAATAATTCAAACCAAAATAATTCGTCTTACATTAGATCTGTTTACCCTTAAGTCCCAAATGCTTCCATGAATTATCTAGAGCTGAGTTGCCCTCTAGTGGTTCTGAAAGTCACTTACTCATGGAGCCTTGTGCTCCTGAGATTGGCCGGTATACTAAAATGCCAGGAGACTGCCGGAGTGGGGAGAGCCCAGACCAACCCATCTCATACTGTATTCCTTCACCTAGTGTGGCCTAGAGCCCAGATATGAAAAAGCAAAGTCCAAAGTCCAAATTGGATAGATCCCTATCTCAAACAGACATTAAGATTATTAACTTGATGCTGAGACTAAAATGTACTATATTTGCAATTGTCATACATTGACTTTCCACTTTTCTTAAAGTACACCTGTAATTACAGAGCCTCAGAGATAAATTTCTGAAGACTTTAAAGTTTAGAAATCATTAAAATAAATGTCTGTGACTTACAAAAGAAAGACATGGGGTTGGGATGTAGCTCAGTGGCATAGCACCTGCCTGGCAATCACGAGGTCCTGAGTTTGATCCCCGGTACCAAAAACAACAAGAAAAAGACAGACATGACTGAGAACTGTAAACAGCCATTCATATTTTTTTAAGATTTAAGCTAATTCACATTCTAAAAGTTAATTTAAAATGCAGAGCTTTATGTGTTGGAATCAAACAGAATCAGAAACAATCCGTCAAAACTGAAAGGTTAGTTTAAATTGGTTTGAGCTCTGAAGAAAACATCGTGGATGGCTGCATTCCAGAGTGGGGAAGGACAGGTGCGCAAGTCCCCTCGGGCTTGTACCAAGGTGTTTTCTGAAGCGAGCCAGGCTGCAGATCCCTTTAGAAGCCTTGCCTTTCTAGAACAGAGAAACTTTACCTCATGAAGGCTCTAATGGAACACCTGTGGATCAAGGGATACTTGTCTCTTTTTTTTTAATCCCCAATTACATAGAAATTTGATTATACAGGGATTCTTGGGGCAGTAATTTAAGAATATTATCTCACATTTCTGTAGTACTTCAGTTACCCAAACATTTCTAGCATATCACTTTATTTTATTTTCACAATAGCACTGCAAGGCAAGTGGGACAAAGATTTGTGTCATCCCATCATGAAAAATTTAGAAGTTCAGAGAAGTTAAATGATTCTCCCTGAGCTTAGGAAGTAGTGACTCTGGGACTGAAACTCAGGCAATATATCCACATGCCATATAGTCTTTCTGACATCTTCTAACTTCCAGTAGAAAATATGAACTGAAAAGAAAACAGATGTGTATTCTCATCAGATTCTAAGTGTCTAGATCTAGTCAAAGGTCTTCATCTCATGTCTTTCTGGAAACAGTGACAGTGGACACTGCCCACATTCTGGTGCTTTGCTAAGGGCACTGAATGATTCTGTGCTTTGGCTTAGACTTCTAAATGTGCTTTGGCCTTCTTGCATACTAATAACATGGAGTTTATTCTGTTCCTCTGATCCTTAATTTTGGAAAAATGTTACTTTGAGTGGGCGGAGAAATTATTCTACCATACTCCTACACATAGAGGACCATGACTGTTTTAAACTAGCTTGATTATTTAATAGTTGACTTTTTTACTCATTCCCAGGATGAATAGGATACTAGGTAGATGAAGTCAGTCAGCAAGCGTTTAATATTGCTCCATTCACAGCCCTTTCCGTACTTCGAAAGCTCTCTACCCAAGCCTGTTGGTTCAGAAGATGAGGAGAATGAAGGGTTACTTATCTGAACCAGCCATTAAAAATAGGTCATCTGTAGGGTTGAGGGAAGCAAAGCAGAATGTAAGCTGCGCTTCAAGCCATGTTAATACATAAATGCTGTAAAGAAAGGTATTTTTTATTCCTGTACTCCTAAACTTACAACATGTATATATATATAAATGACCTTTGCTGTCACCATAACCTGGCAGTCTTTGTAATGACATTAAGTCCTCATTATGCTAACACATAAAAGTGTTATCACCCATAAGGTAAGTTTCTATTTTAAGGCCGTGCTTCTGGCATTAATAAACTGTATTAAAGAAAGGGAAAATGAATAATTAATGTAAATATAGGTGCCTTTAAATTAGCCTCATTAGTATTTTTAAGATTTTCATAGCATGACTGCTTCAGAAAATGATATTCACATAAAACTGTGAAAAGCGTCACATTTAAATTAAAAGTTATTTTTAAAATATTAAGTCTGAACATAAATACTACATGGTAACACTTTTTCTCTTTTCTGATGTCTCACAGAATACCCAAAGGATAAGCAGTTCTCAAGCCACTCAGCCCCTTGCAACCCCTGTAGTGTCTGTGACAACCCCAAGCCTGCCTCCGCAGGGACTCGTGTACTCAGCAATGCCGACAGCCTACAACACTGGTGAGCCCCCTCTCCTGCCTTTCCTTGGGCTGAATTTCTCTCTGCTTTGTGATCAACATGTACTTTTGTGATTTTGTTTGAAGTAAATTGTCTTCAGTTTTTTACATTCAAATTTCAGTATGTTGGAAAACACATGCTAGCCTTGAAACAATTTCAGAAAATACATTGATAATGAAATAATTTGAATGTTATGTCTCCATTGTGAACTTTTTTTTTTTTTTGGTACCGGGGATCGAACTCCGGTCCTTGTGCTTGCGCGGCAGGCGGTGAAACCACTGAGCTAAATCCCTGGCTCCAGTGTGAACTTTTACTTGTCTCTTACAGAGAAGCAAGTAGGTACAGTATTACCAAAATGTGGTATGCATCCAGCCAAGGACACTAGCCTGTTGCTCAGTTGGTTTTATTTTTTTGTAGTTTCTCATTACACAGTGTCTCACTCTTCCAGGCTTTTGAAATAAGATGTTTGTCTTTCTGCTGTCAACCTGCTTTGGGCCACTCCAAGCTCCTTTGGGGATGTGGCAGGTGCTGAGCTGTGGGCAGCAAGCCGCGTTTTCCTTCCTGTAACTGCTAACTTGGTCTGCATCGTTTGTGCACTCGGGGCAAGACAAAGACCTTTCACATTTCTCCGCAGTCACTCTCCATTAAGCAGAGCTTTTCACTTACTTATGTTTATGTAACCATTTCATCTTAAAACACCCTAGTTTGAGAGTCTGTTAGGAAAGATTAAGAATACTATAGTGATGAGAAAGGTGCTTCCCCAGCTCCAAAAAAAAAAAAAAGGCAATAAAGACAGGTGCTGTTTGCCAAGCAGGCTGTATGGAGACCCTTGGTGTGCAGCAGGTTTCATTTCAATTTGCCATTCTGAGGAGGGCAGAATGTGCATGTGGCTCCACTTTCTTCCCAGCTGAGCCAAACACCTGTTGCTTCAAAGAAAGAAAGTTCAAAGAAGGCTGTACTTAAATTACACCTTGCCAAATATCCAGAGACTACAGTGCAGGCAAGTGATCTTTTATGATTCTCATACATAAACTGTGGTAGAAATCATCTAATTTTTAGACTTCAGGCTAAATGCTTTGGCACTCTGCTTTCAAACTGCTGTCTGCAGCCAATTGGAGAGAACAGAGCAATTGATACATTTAATTACCACTTCCCTTCTAAGTACTATTTCTTTAAAAATGGGAACAACTTTAAAGAGGTTTTGTTGAAAAAGAATGCTTCACAGGGAATGTCCTTTACCTTTTCCAGTAATCAGTATGTCAAAAAGCCCAAATCTATCAATTGGACACTAACCTAGTCTGGATACTAACCAGGGATTGAGCATTTATAAATACTCTGCTTCAGTACATTAACCACTTGCTATATGAGAGATACCATGCCAATCATGCTGCATCTTTTCTCTCAAGCTTATTCTAGGAAAGGAAATAGGACTGACTTAAGTTGCTCATCATAGAAAGTCCTAGGTTGTGGTTTTCGCTTTATACTCTTTTTTTTTTTTTTTTTTTTTTAAAGGCCACTAGAGACTGAACCCAGGCCACACACATGCTGTCCTCTGGGCTATATCCTCAGCCCCAGTTTGTGCTCTTGAGGTTGAGAAGGTAGAGAAGATGGAGTCGACCTGGGTATCAAAGTTAGACTGCAGCTCACTAAACATTTCCATTGTAGGTTTTTCAATGTACTTAGAAATTGCACTATACATATTTTTAGAAATGCTATTAGATTAGAAAAACATTATGTACTTTATATTAACATAGTATTTTAAAATATTAAAAATATATATTACACAGTGTAGAAGGAATTGCCAAAACATTTAAAACAATGGAGTCAGGTCCCCTTGAAACCATCTATCATTCAGCTTCAGTCTCCTCCCCTTTGACAGACTGTATCTTTGCTCCTTCTCAGAACACCTGTTTTAGCCTTACCATATTATCTTTTCTTTTTTTCTAAGAAAAAAAGGATTGAACCAGGGATTGAACTCTGGACCTTGTGCTTTTGAGGCAGGAGTGGTGCCACTGAGCTAAATCCCCAGCCCTAACTGTATTATCTTTAACTTATGTGTCATTTGACTTTTTTAAACATTTGCCCATGTTCTGTCTTCTTTAGTGTATAGTCTACCTTTCTGTACGTACTTAGTGCCCAACACATCAGACAGCAGGTACAGGGAAAATAAATAGACAACTTTTGAAATGGAAGTGAAACAGTTCTGTGTGAATGAATTCTGTGAATACGTCCTCAGGGCCCATCAGTAATATCACTCCCAGCTTCAAGACTTATTCCTGCAGGTGATCGACAGGTACACTGGAAATACAAGCATTTTCCATCAACAGTAGAATATAGGGTCTATCGGGGGAGAAAGGCACAAGACAGGCAACTCTAGGAAAGATCTGTTGCTGTTGTCTCCAGGGCTGCCTTGCAGCTAGGCATGAAGGAGAATGCAGGACTCAGCCAAGCCAAACAGGGAGCTTGGAGAACTAAACAGGGTTCTGTTGACTATGTTGTAAATTTTGGACATTATCTTGAGAACATTGGGAAGTCTTAAAATGCTTTTAAGTAAAGGAGTGTCACAATCATGTTTCTTGTGTTAAAAAGATCATTTTGACTGCAGTGTCCATAGAAGTAAATGTAAGTGCCAAGAAACCACGAGAGAACAATGTGGCCTAAGTAATGGCTGCTCGTGGCATGGACTGGAGTGGTAGCAGCAGAGACAGTGAAGGCTGTGCTGGCAAAGACAGGAGGCAGAACTGGCTGGACTTGGTGGTTGATGGTGGAGCAAGAGAGAAGAGCAGCATCAAGGAAACACACGTTTCTGGCACAAGCTGCTGGGTGTGTGTTGCTGCCATTTATCAAGTTATAGATTATTTAAGGAGGAACAGGTTTAGAGGAAAACCTGAGTCCAGTTTGGGGCATGTCAAATTTGAGGTGTTTGGAAAGACATCGATGTGGACTTGTCAAATGGGTTGTTAAAAGAGCCAAGAGAGAAGCCGGGTGTGGTGGGACACACCTGGAATCACAGCACTCAGGAAGCTGAGGCACGAGGATCACCACGAGTTCAGTAGAGAGACCCTGTCTCTGAGAGAGAGAGAGAGAGAGAGAGAGAGGGAGAAGGGCGAAGAGAGAAGAATTGTGGACTGGAGGGACAGCAGGGCAGGTGCCTCCATGGGGATGGCTGAGGGTCTTAGAGCAAATAGAATACAAAAGTACAGACCTGATAGAAACCTGAGCACCCGCTGCACTGCCTCAACTCAGTTTGTTTTTTAAAAATGTTGATTCACTAGGAAGACCAACTTCTTTAAACACCTCTCTTGAGACATGAGAAAGTTAAAAGTAGAAGAGTTTTGTCACCTCTCTTTAGAACTAAATGGAAAAGAAAGTGCTAATGATGAACTAAAATATCTCTATGTGTGAGTGATAACTAATGTCCTATGTATTGGTTACAGTAATTATGACTAAAGCCTTCATGTAACATGAATTGTATTATTCTCTTTTGTCCTGGAAAGTTTATTCATGGACTTGAGAGGATTTTGGATGCAGAGAGCTGTCACAGTCTTAAAACAAATGCAGTTGTGTAATGATATACTTAATGTCTACATCACTAAGTTTGTCACCCCTGTGAGCAGGGATTCTGCATCTTTGCATTTCCATGCACTTCCTCAAGACTTGCTGATCCAGATTCAGTCTGGGTGAGCACCAGTGTTTCTTTTTGTTTGAGAAGGTAGTGGTGGCATTTTTAAAAAGTAACAATTGTATAGGCAATATCCCAGCATAGCAATCTTTCTGCCTTTACAGATTACTCACTGACCAGCGCTGACCTGTCGGCCCTGCAAGGCTTCAACTCCCCAGGAATGCTGTCTCTGGGGCAGGTGTCAGCCTGGCAACAGCACCCTCTAGGACAAGCAGCCCTCAGCTCTCTTGTGTGAGTAACTGGAATTTTCCCTGAACCTTTATTCCTAGCCTATTCATTCTCTTTTTCTATCAGTTGTAAACTCTCTCATGTGAATAGTGCTGCAGTGATTCTTTTTTAGGTGAACGCAGTGCTGGGAGAAAATATTTCTTACCATGGTTTTAGATAAGAGCTTGGATGCTTAGCAAACCAGGCATTCCTTGAAAGGGGTTCAGGGAACAAGGCTTTCCTTTTCAGGCACACTGAAGTGGAGAGACTCCGCTGGTATCCAGGGGGTTCCAAGGTACAGATGCCACCCACGCAAACCACCTTCTACCTACTGACTGCTCAGTAAGCCGCCCACTCCCTGCCTGCCTCTTGACACCTGCCTCCAGCTCCACTGCTTGCAGAGTGGCAGCTTGAAGGAATTCTGTTTTGGGGATGGTCAGAAGAGGAAGATGAGCTATGCCTTTTACTTACCTTAGCTTCTTATGGGAGGAAAGCAGAGATGGGTACCCCGCGTGTGAATTGGGATCCATAGGGTTCATGTGGTCAGTCCTGCCCCAGTGCACACCCCATATTTCTTTTGCAAAGAGAGCATTCCTGTGGGCAGGGCATGAGATTGTAGGTGAAGAAGACAGACAGACTCCCTGAGCAGGAGGGAAGAACTGGGATGACAGTGACAGTAGGCCATGGATCAAGTAGAGAAGAGGGATCAGCAGAGCAAACCTCTAGCTGACTGCTTCATCTCTGCTCAGTGTAGTAGGAACACCCCAGCCTCCTAGCCAGGAAACCCATTCGCCTGCCTTCTGAAAGGACTCTACATGCATATTGTTATCACTAATCTTAAGAATTATCTTGGGGAAAATTTTGGCTACACAGCTGTTCGGCTCTCAGGCCTGCCCTAAGCACCCTAAATGAAAACACTGAAAATAGATCTGGAAGCTGGACACAGTGTAGCGTGTACTTGTAATCCCAGCTCCTTGGGAGCCTGAGACAAAAAGATTACTTGAGCCCAGGAGTCTGGGCCTAGTGAGAGCCTATATCAAAAAACAAAACAGGAAAGCAAATGGACAGGGCTTGACAGAGTTGTTTTAAGAATAGATGATGATGTGCCTGTCACTGGGCCAGAGCAGAGAAGATAGCGAGGTGGAAGAGGCAGTGAACAGATTCCAGGTTGCCACACCATTCCTGTCTTTCTAGACCATGCAAGCATAGCATCAGACACTGAACTGATTTTTCCAACTTGAGATGCAGAAGTACAGTTGTGGGTAGTTGAAGTAAGGAACACAGGACTTGGCCGTGCTGTTTGTTCCTCTCAGGGAAATGTCATTTCTTTGTGTGCTACACACTGAAGAAGATGTCCAAAACCAGTCTTGAGGAATTCCAACAGGAATTGGCTCTTTCCAGCAGGCAATGGCTGCAGCGTCATCATGTGAATAGTGCAGATGCACCCACAAAACATCTTACCTCTCTCTTTTTTTTTCTTTAGTGCTGGAGGGCAGTTATCTCAGGGTTCGAATTTATCCATTAACACCAACCAGAACATCAACATTAAGTCAGAACCAATTTCACCTCCCCGGGATCGAATGACCCCATCTGGCTTCCAGCAGCAGCAGCAACAGCAGCAGCAGCCACCACTACCACAACCACCCCAGCCCCAGCCCCAGCCCCAGCCCCAGCCCCAACCCCGGCAGGAAATGGGGCGCTCCCCTGTGGACAGTCTAAGCAGCTCTAGTAGCTCCTATGATGGCAGTGACCGCGAGGATCCTCGGGGTGACTTCCATTCACCAGTTGTGCTTGGCCGACCCCCAAACACTGAGGACAGAGAGAGCCCTTCTGTAAAGCGCATGAGGATGGATGCGTGGGTGACCTAAGGTTTTCAACTCATGTTTGTACTTTGTGTTACTGCAGTGAACTGCCCTACATATCTACATTGGCAAATAAGGTCATGAGTTAAATATATTTATATGTACATACATACATATATATCCCTTTACATATATATGTATGTGGTGTGAGTGTGTGTATGTGTGGGTGTGGGTTGCATACACCGAATCAGGCACTTACCTGCAAACTCCTTGTAGGTCTGCAGACGTGTGTCCCATGGCATACAAAGCACCCTGTAGGCACAGACTAGTCTGGCACTTCCTTGGACTACTTGTCTCATAAGATAACCAATTTTTGCAGAGAAATGTGTACCCATATATAATTCTCCCATACTAGCTTGCAGAAACCTAGAAGGCCCCTACTTGTTTTATTTAACTGTGCGGTGACTGTAGTGACTTCAGAAAAATGCTTTGTAGAACAGAGCAGTAGAAAAGCAGGAATCAAGAAAGCAATACTGTACATAAAATGTCATTTTTATTAATACCCAACCTGGCATGGGTCTCTTGCAGAGGGGTGCATGGGAAAGGGCTGTTGCTATTAAAAAACAAACAAAAACAAAACAAGCCCCACACATAACTGTTTTGCACGTGCAAAAATTTATTGGGTCAAAGAGGTGATCTTTAGCTAATAAAAAAAGAGAGAATAGAAAACACGCATGAGATAGTCACAAAATACTAGCCTAGAAATATAGAGCATTAACAAAATAAAATTAATGTATTAAGTTATAATTGGAATATGTCAGAAGTTTCTTTTTACATTCGTATCTTAAAGAAACTGATTTTAGCTCATGTATATTTTATATAAAAGAAAACACCCTTATGAATTGATGACTATATAGAAAATTATATTCACTACTTTTGAACACATTCTGCTATGAATTATTTATATAAGCCAAAGCTGTATGTTGTAACTTTTTTTTTTTAAGAGAATAGCTTTATCTTGTTTTAACTTTTTAGTTTTATTTTAAGAGGGGAAAAAAACAAACAGAAATATCTTGCAAGCAGAACCTTGGAAAAAAAAAGCCATGAACACTTATTATTCTATATGTAAATTAAAAGTTGAGCCAAACTCTTTGTGTATATAGCATCTTAAATATATTATCACCTTTGATGTAAGTACCTATGTATTGTATGGTCACCAGATTAAAAAGTATATTTTTGTGGATTGCCGCCAATTTGGGGGGAAAAGGCGAAGTCCTTATTAAGTAGAGTATTCACTGTTTAATATTTACTATTTTGTTAAATATACTGTACTTTGGATTTTAATTATTAGCCCAGTTTTTTCAGAGGATTGTATAAAGGGGTTTCTCCCCTCACTGGTGGTGAATGTGTGACGTTACATTGTAATCTTTGTGCTGTATGGGGTGAGCATCATATATTTTATATGTGTACATAAATAGCAGAGTGGCAAAAAATGGTGTTAAGTTCATCCTGCATAAATATAAAATGTGTTGTAACAGATTTTACAAGGCATTATTTAAAACTTGCCTTTTGTGAGGAAAAAATATAGTAGAAAAATATGACCTAATTTAATTAATATTAGAGAAAATGGCAAAATGGTAGATGAGCACAAAGGTTTTATAAGTGGTAAATGATTAGGGAATAATATTCATGAGGCAAGGGACCCTTTTCCTTATCCCTCTAAAAGTAGAATATTATAGCTGGTTACAAAATGTACTACATGGTGGATGTTCCGTGCAATCGAAATGACACTCTGGTGTGGGGAGAGACTCTCGTGGAGCAGGTCCTTGGTGTGGCACTTGCCACCATGATTAAAATGAGTGCCACCCCTCCCTCAGTTTGGATTTTCAGCAAGGCCTTACTCTTACAGCAGGACAACTCATTGGCAAGTTTGTCTGTTTACTGGGCTTATGCCATGAACAAAATTCAAAGTCCTGTATATCTTTTATTGTAGATTTTTAAATACTCCTTTTCGTGAGAAACTCAAAAGAAGGGTTTAAAAATTGCTGCTATTTTATATTTTAAAATTAATATTGAGCAGCTACCTACAGTTTTTACTTAAATTTTGTTTTTTCCCCCTAAATTACATTCTTTTTGACATTTTCCTCATCTGCTGTTTGTGACAAATCATCAGCCAGATTTCCTGACTGACACATAGGTATTAGGTACAGATAAGCCTGTGGCACACACAGGCTACAGAATTCAAATTGGTGTTTTAATGGCTAGTGAGTTTTGGTAGAAGCCAGAAAGGGGGGCGGGGGTGATGTAAAGCTGTCTCCTCTCTTCAGCATAAACATTTGGCTCTTATTCAAAAAGGATTGGTTTTTCTTTTAAAATATACTTCATTTACTGGCCTGCTTACAGGTACATTTCTTCATAAGGTCACACCTAGTCAAAACAAAGACAGTCTCCCAACACTGAATTTCTGAGATAATCCTTACCACTTTGTAAACCATTTATAGTTTTGAAAGTGTTAAGTGAGCCTTTAGTTATTATTTATGCATGTTCATGAACTTCTGCTGTATATTGGAATAGGAGTTAACACATTCACATTTACTGTCTATTTTCTTGTGTGCCTTATGAGATGGCTTTTCTGACTGTATCTCAATAGTCTTTCTTTCTATGCAGGTTTATAATCAGTACTACTGTTTTCTAAAACAATATTACACAAGGCTCGGAGTTTGTATTTAAATTACACTGACCAAGGAACAATGTATTCCATTTTCAGGAGCTGAATATTTGACTGTTAACCTTCCATACGCCTAGTGTGATTTGGAGCATATGCACTCAACAGACATCCCTCAGCCCCTCATGTGCAAACACATCCACATCCACATCTCTTGGCAGAAACCAGCTTAGAATGGGGAAGACACTAATGGTGTTGCTTTAAAACCAAGTTTTCTTACCCTTTTAGACTTACATGTTTTGCAGGAAAATTTTATCCCTTCAAATGAAGTATTTTGTTATTAAAAAACAAAAACAAAAAAAGCTTACATTGCACTGGATATAGGAAGTTCCCAACAGCTGCACTTCCTTCAGTACGCTAACTGGTACTGCACTAAGAGTGAAAGTCACCATTGTGTGTACACAGATGGTCCCAATCAAAACTCCATCTTTTGAGCCCTAATTATGTCCATTGTGTTATAGACTAAATCAGGGGTTTGTTCTAAAAGAACAATTCATGTTTTACCATTTCCTTTTAACTGTAAGAACAACTTACATTATACATTAACATAATTTCTGTATTAACCATCATGCGCACAAGAAATACATAGTAAATAAGGAACCTGAAAACTCCTGGCATTGGATCATAAAAAGCTAGATGATTAGAATGTGAAAATGATTTTACAAATGTAAAACTTTTATTTCTCTGTAGAAACTTCCTTCACTTTGCTGTGCAAGAAGACACTGCTTTGCTATATTTAAAATGGCTTTTTTTTAAAAGAGATTTATGTATTTGGTAAATGTTTGTAGTCAACAGTTCACACAAGAAGCTGTACACGGTTTGATCATGTAAACCGTTTGGCGGCACAAGCTGGACTTTGTTGCCATCGTTGAGATGAACCTTTTAAGAAAAATAAGTTGATCTCAATTTTTCCCTGAATGTGTTGTTTTTTCTTCATTATATAATAAATATTATCGTGAACTTTCTATCAAATGGTTAAGACAATGCTAGAGGTTGTTGTAAACTGTCTCCTGCACTCACTCCAGTAAAGATGGACTGGCTCTTACTGTGCTTCCAGACTCTGTCATGTTTGCCTGGGGGAACAAGAAGGCTCTGGCTTGGCCACCAGCCAGCCTCCTACCCCAGAAGCTCTGTCTTTCTGCTGCTTTCACGGGGCCTTTTTGCACCTGCAGGTCCTCTTGTGTTTAGACATAGCCCGGAAAACATCCAGGGGCCCTACCAGTCTCACCCTGTAGCATCTAGGCAGCCCTGGAGCCTTTAGGAGCCAGCCTGCCCCCGGCATGGGTTAGCGTGGCTGCTCTGCACTCATTAAGGTGGCTCTGTCGGATCCACTTAGGCTGCAATAACTATTCAGAAAATACCCCCAAAGTATGCTAAGGGAAAAGGATATTGTTAGTACTATCACTAGCTTCCATTTATGTTTAAAGTTTAAGGCACGAAAAGATTTGTTTTGTCCAAAATGTATGTATAATGCTAAAGTAGAAGCAGAAGACATTTACTTTGGAGTTTGACTTTCAGAAGCAGTAGTTGTATATTCTAGTATGCTGGTAGGTACTTCTCCTGTGATCATCTTTCTTGGTCATAATTCAGCTAGAAAATGAAAAATATTATCTAATCTTGCAGTGGGAAATGTTCCCTTCCTCCCATTTGTCTTCTCAGCCAGCTCCTAGCTCAGCAAATTCTTGGTGTCAGATTGTTAAAAAGCTAAATTTTTGTGGTGGTTTTACATGGCTGGCTACAGTGGATCTCTTATTAGCAGGTTTTGAAAGCTGGCTGAGTCCTGTGGCTAAAAATACTCTAATCACAGCTGCAGCTACTTAAAATCAATTCACTTCAAGTTCCTAGTCAGCTCCCATGGGTGCCTTGCTCTAGGCTTTATCTTGTTTTTAAGCTGATTGTGTGTCTACTGGCACCAGCCATGAAAATGATTTCCAGTTGGAGCCCTGTGCCAGCTGAAGGGCTGCAGCCCGCTCCCGACCACCTGCCCAGTAGTTCACAAGGAGCAACTTAGTTGTGGATTTGTCTGATGTTTCTCACAATTGGAATGAAGTTGTGCGTTTCAGCACAAGTATCACAGAAATGATACACTCTCAGTGCATCATAGAGTTGTGGGATCGATACGTCTCATTACAAGTGATCATGACCATCATGGGGGTAAATGGTGCCTATCAGATTTCTCCACTGCAAAGTTCTGTAATTTGCAAGTATCTTGGAGATTTCTGGGAGACTACGCAGGTTCCTCCTCAGACTTTGACTCACAGATTTGACATCTTGTCTGCAAACACTGTTACTGTAGCAGTTTGTTTTCTTCTACATCGATAATTGGGATTCTGCTTGAGAAACAGGTATCCTTCTGAATTTAGGGGATTATATTTTTATGGGCTCACGGATATTTTACTCTACAGATTATAATGCAGGTTATTAGGCACTCTGTCAGGTAGACTCATGTTCTTTGGATCTCCCACTTCATCCCCCTTTGCTGGGCTGGGTCCTTACTTTGTGACACCAGAACATTTCCACACTCATCTTGTATTTTGCCTCTCCCGGTGCTGGGTCGACCAATTCTGTGACTCCTGGTTCATTTTATTGGTGAATGGTGTTTTGAAGTCAAGATCTGGGGACTGGATGTATTCATTACTGCTAGAGTGTCACTGAAAGTGGGCAGAGACATATCCATGTTCTGCAAGTTTGTCTTCAGACTCCAGTTCAAGTTTGTCTTGCCTTTCCTTGGTTGTAGTTCTCTTATGGTAAGAAACTCAGCAGTCATTAACTATCTTTTCACTTGTTCAGTTCTAGTATATGCAGTTTCAGAATTGTCAACCCATACCTCTCTAATTACTGAACAGAGCATTTATTTATGTAGTTTGTTTGCCTTTGGCCTTAAATTACCTGGTCAGGATAATGTTTTTCCAGTTACTTTTAGTCCCAGTCCCCTTCTGTGGTTGTTACTCATTGGTAAGACAGCTAGGAACCCCTGTTGGTGTGTTTATTCTATTTTAGGTACCCTTGCCCCATCGTAGTTGGTTGTAATCACGTATTTGGGGGTATAGAATGGTAGCTGATGCATTACTGTATTTCTAAGAAAGCTATTCAGAGAGTGTTGGAGATACGTGCTCGGAACCCTATTCTCAATCCCCCACTTCCCCAACCTCATATTGATAGACTTTAATTGTTGGTGTAATCCTTTGTTTCTCTTCTGCAAGAATCAGCAGCTTTGCTTTTTCTCACTTAACAGTGTGTCTGGAAATCATTCCACAGAGACGATTCTTAGAAATCTTCATTTCTGTTTACACTTGCATCGTACTCCATGGTGTAGATGTACCAAACTTCAGTAAATCCTGAAAAAGCATTCAGATTGCATCATGTTTGAATTATCAGTGAATAACGTTACGCATATGTATTCTTGTACTGTTACAGGCTTGTCTTCAGAGTAGGTGCCTAGAGGTGAGATTGCTGAGTGACTTCCTGTGTAGTTCTGTGAGGTGTTACAAATTTGCCTCCAGAGTTGTACCAGTTGGCACTTCCTCTAGCGATGCACAGAATGCCTGTGTCCCCACAACCTCTCCAACTGACTGTTCTGGTATGCTGCATTTTTACCAGGCTGGTATGTGAGATACATGAGAAATCGTATCTCAGTGTTGACTTGCCTTTTTTACAAATGATTTTGAACATTTTTCTTATTTTGGGGGAGGGATCTGATCATCTTATTCCCATTTATTTGAGTTTTGGTCTTTGTCCCTCAAGTTTTAAGAGTTTTTTTTAAAAATCTGGGATATTAGCCCTTTTTTATAGGGATTATGAATATTTTCCCCCAGTTTGTCAGTTGTCTTTTGACTTTTTTTTTTTTTTCGGTGAGTGGTATTTCTGTCTTGCAAAAATTTTATTTTCATGTAGTCATACTTTTCAATCTTACTGTTCGTGGATTTTGAGTTACCTTTAGAAATTTTCTTCCTACACCAAGGCTACAGAAAAATTCACCCATGTTCTCTTATATGGGTTTTTTGGTTTGGGTTTGGTTGATTTGTTTGTTTTTTGAGACAGAGGCTCACTGTACCCCAGGTTGGCCAGAACTTGCAGTCCTCCTGCTTCAGCCTCCTGCTGGGATTACAGGCCTGTGCCACCAGACTCTTAGACCTGTTTCAGAATTTAGTATTACCTATGGATCTAATTTTGTTTTTTTACAAATGGCTAGTTGTCCCCCTTTATTAAGTACCATTTATGTAAAAGCCTATCTTTACCCCATCAATTTAGGTACTGCTTGTATCATGACTAAGTTAACATATGAATTTTGGCCTGATGCTGAAATTTCTGTTTTTATTCCACTGTGAGTACAAATTTTAGATGGCTGTCAACTGCCCAGAAATGGAGCTACTGTTCCCTGTTGTGTTGGAGCCCTCTCTCTAGGACATTGCTGTTGTCACTCAGCTCTATTCAGAACTCCATGACTATTTCCTCTTCATAACTGGTCATTTCCTCACCCACTGAGAAAACAGTTTCAGTTAAAGGAATTTGTCTAATCTTCTCACGGGAAGTTCCCAGTCTGTCTGCATCTGCGCACACACGCTGTGCCTTCCACTCAGGGCTGTGATGTACTGTCTGCGCCATGCTAAGGTCAGGCCTTCCATGTTCTGTGCTGAATCCCGGCATCTCTGTCCTTCTCCAGGTCATCTTCCCTTCTGCAATTGTCCCTTTCTGCCAACATCACTTTCTCCCGTCTTTTTCCCATCAGCAAAAAACTTGCCTGTCACCCACTTCAAAACATAGCAGAACAGAGCAAACTGCAGCGACTAACCACTGTTCTACCTACAGTACCAGGGCTCATATAAGGATCATTGTGTCCCTTCCTGGATGCTGTTCATACTTGATTATTTTCCATAAATGATACAACCTGAAAAGACAGGAAATCGCAGGGCTGTCAAGAATGAGAAGTGTGGAGAACCTTAGTGGAGAACCTTATTGGAGAAGGGGAAGGCGGGCCCAGAAGATCTGCAGATGATGCAGCAAGGAAGTGCAGCAGGAGCTGTTCTCCCAGCAGGCGCGGCTCAGGAGCAAGAGGGGTTAGGGAGGAGGGCGGAGCACGGAGAACCACTGCTCCTGGACTGCTGGGACTGCTGGGACGTGGGCTGCCGGCCTTGCCACCTGCTCAGCTGAGCCCTGCCCCATGCAAATGGAGTTTCGGGCAAGTGCTGTGGGAACAGTGTGGGGCCAGGTTCTGGAGATCTGGCATTTGATGGGCGGTGGGAAGCTACTGGAGTCCAAGCAGTAGAAAGCTGAGCCCTGAAGTTAAGAACAGTAATCTCAGCTTCAGAGAGGTGTGGGTGGGGGAGGGAAGACCTTATGAAGTGATTGTCTGGGTTTGTATCCCTGATTTTTTTGGGGGGGTGGTACTTAACTATACTAGCAATTGAACCAAGGACCTTCACACTGAGCACATCCCTAGTCCTTTTTGTTTTGTTTTTTGGCTTATTTTTTTTTTTAAGCAAAACTTTTTATTGGTACATTTTAAATACACATGACAGCATTCATCATAGGGAATTTGAACCTGTACATGATGTATCTTGCTTTTTTTTTAAACCCCCTTTGGCCCCTCTTCCCTCCTTTATTTACAAAAGCTTTGTTTCCATCTTTCCCTTTCTGTTCTTTTTTCTCTTTTCCCTTCTTTCCTTTCCCCTCCCCCCTCCCTTGTTCCCCTTCTCATTTGAACATTTTTTTCCCATTTCCAAATGTCTATTATACATTTTGGTCCTTATTTCCACTTTTGGTTTCTTATACCAGAGAATGCGGTATTTCAATACATGTGTCCAATTTATCTCACTTAAGAGTATGGTCTCAAGGTGCATCCATTTAGCTAGAAATGTCTCAAGCTTATTTTTTATGGCATAGTACTGTATTGTATAAAAAGAAACCATATCTTTATCCATTCATCAGTTGATGGGAATTCGAGCTGTTTCCAAGCTTTGGCTATTACAAACTGCCACTGTAAACATGGGTGCGCACATATCACCGTGGTATGTTTTTAATTTTTTCGGGAAGGAGCCAAGAAGGGGAATAGGTTGGTCCAATGGAACCACTAGTTTTAGTTTTTTGAGGAATCTCTACACTGATTTCCACAGTGGTTGCACCAGTCTACACTCCCACCAGCAGTGGAGCAGGGTTCCTTTTCCCTACAGCCCTGCCAGCGTTTGTTATTGGTTGATTTCTTGATAACAGCTATTCTTTCTGGAGTGAGATGGAATCTCAGCATTTTAATTTGCATTTCTTGAATGACTGGTGATGATGAACATTTTTTCATATAGTTATTTGCAGTTTGTACTTTATCTAGGAAGTGTCTGTTTGTTTCAGATGCCCACTTTAGGATTGGGTCTTTAAATTTGGGGGGTCTGATCGTTTGAGTTCTTTAGAGATTCTAGATAGTAGTCCTTTGTGTGAGGAAAGCGGGCAAATTTTTCCCCATGCTGTGGGTTGTCTGTTCACTCTGTTGGTGGTTTCTTTTGCTATAGAAAAGCTTTTGAATAAGATGAGATCCTAGCTGTTGATTCTTTGTGATCTTTCCTGTTTTGTTTTGTTTTTGAGACAGGATCTAAATTGCCAGGGCTGGGCTCGAACTTGTGCTCCTCCTGCTGCAGCCTCCCAGAGTGCTAGGACAACAGGTGTGCAGCACCACACTCAGCTCCCGTGGGAATTTGTACAGGTGCCTGAGTGAAGACAGGGGGATCCGGCACCAATGAAAGGAGCTTTACTACTTATCGTGCCTCGCCTCTTGACTTCGTAATTGTTTGGGGCTCATTGGACCTTTCTCATGCCTTCCCTTTCTTGTTCATACAGCCTCAGACATACGGAGCTGAGTTGCAAAGGCCGTTTTAACATCCGTGCCTGCTGATTCTGTCATTTGTGTCCTGCAAGGTCTGTTTTGTGACACACCACCACCACCACCCCATTGCGGGTTGTGGTTGGTTTGTTTTGTATTACGTGCCTGGTCATCTTTGGTTGGATACTAGACAGTGAATTTTGTGATCTTGGATGCTAGATTTTGATGTCTCCCTTTGAGTATTTTGTGCTTTACTCTTGGAATCACATTGATCCTTTTTAAGCTCATAAAATACCACAGGTACAAATTGAGACCATCAACTCTGAAGATCTCCCTCCTCCAGCTAAACCTCCAGAACTGACGTCATTGTTCAATTCAGTGAGCATAAACTCTCTACTTACTGCTCAGATCTTCAGTAGCTTCTCCACCGTCAATCCCAGACCACTCAAATGTGATTCGACAGTCCTTGGCATTCAGGCAGTGGGTTTGGGTTTTCTTAGCCTTACACTGTGCCGTCAGTGCCCCAGGTGGGCGGGGAGAAACTGTCTTAATTCCTCTCCGCTGCCCCCTCCTGAAGAAGCCCAGCCCCGCAGCTCCACGCAGCCAGAGGCCTGAGCGGCCCCCACGGTCCAGTCTGGCTGGGCTCCTTGCCTCCCCCAGGCAGGCAGGAGTCAGGCAGGTGACAGGCAGGCAGGCCCCGCCCCGTCGGCCAGGGACAGACCTTCGGCGGCCGCGCCTATGGGCTGCTCCTCAGATTTTCCCCCAGAAGTGGGGAGAATAAGCGCCCACCCCGAAGGGGTGTGAGGACCGGACCGTGAGTTCCCGGGTAAGCTCTCACAGCGCCAAGGGTCACATTACTACTGGTTTTGCCCCTAGGGCTGCAGCCCAGTCTTTCCGCATGAGAGAGCTTCAGGACTCGGCCTGCCTTACTGCTGAGCTCACCCCCAAGTGGCTCTGCCCTCAATTCGTGGCCTGTACAGCCCCCTCTCCCCTGCCTCCTGCAGTCCAGAAACCGATACAAACACCCACGGCCTTGTCCCCCGGAACTTAACAGGAGCAGTTTTCCATACTAGGCACTGTTTCTACCAAAAAGATGAATCATTTCTTGAAAACATTACCCGATGACATCAAAAATGTAAATCATGTAGAAAATGAACTTCATATTTCTCACATGTACCTAATAAAAAGTTACAAAGCTTGCTAGGCAGGCTAGCCTCCCGGAGTGTGATTGTCCCTCACCTGCCCATGTAACCTGGGTACAGCACAAGCCCTGGCTGCAGGGTCCAGGCAGAGCCGGAAGCAGGCCTTACCCTGGACACACACTTCCGCCTTCTCCGCCACTCTGCCTCGCCTTTCCATTGTGTTACCACCCAGTGTTAAAAAGCAGGAATCATTTTTCCTTCACAGAAGAAATTATTTTATTCCATTTGAGAAAAGTAAAGGATACAGATATATATTCTTTGCCTGGCAAAAGTGATTTTCCCACACAACTCTGAGCCCCGCCTGGTGAAGTTAAAGGCCACAAATGTTGGAGAAGTCTGGGGCCCCCGGCAACAGTGAGCACAGACCTTTAGCTGGAAAAGCATTTACATGATCAAAATGTTTCCTGTACCGTGGTTCACACCTTCATTGTATCCTGAAAATCATCCTGGTCTCTAAGAAAACATGTAATTGTGAAGATAATTTAAATTTGCTAAATTGAGCCCTAGGCCAGTTGTTTTTCACACAAACTGAGCGGAGAAATTGGAAACCTATCTCAAGTACTCTTCTGTCACCCCCCCTTCCGGTGAGATCTTTTACATTTATCTCTGGGCCTTCGGCGCCAACGCCATACCAGCTCAAGTGCAGCATTTCTGTGGCATTTTCCAGACCTTGCAGGTGGAGCCCCGAGCCCCCAGCCCCTTCCCTGCCTCTCCCCGCCACACGTGGCAGGCTGGTGTCTTGCCAGAGGAGGGGACTGGCAAACCAGAGGCCCCATCTCCCCATGGTCAGCCACAGCCCCTTTGCTGTGATTTGGGTGTCCCCAAAGGCCCACGACTTAAAGGCGTGGTCCTCAGCTTGGTGTCATTTCAAAGTGGGGCCTAGTGAGAGGAAGTTAGGTTTGAAGATGCTGGACGGACCCCAGGCCTTCCTCTCTCCCTCCTTTCCCAGCCACAAGAGATGACGTCCGCTGCCTGCCATAATGTGCTGCTTGGACACAGGTCAGAAAACAACAGGCCAAACTGACTGGGGCCTCTGAAGCCATGAGCTAAAATAAACTTTCTCCTCCTAAGTTGTCTCATTGTATTCAGTTATAATTACGGAAAGCAGACAAATACTCTTGCCCCTCCATGGAGTCTGGTTTTAACATTACAAGCTACACCATAGTCAGAGGGTTCCCCTAGGGTAGCAAAGGCGAACCTTTCAGAAGATTCTCAAAGAGACACTGCTTCAGTAATGCTAACCAATGGGCCAAAGAGGAAGTAAGGCTCCTTATAATTTGTCACTCTCTAAATCAGGGTGACATACAATACTACTCCGTAGCACTTTTACTGAGGAGACAAAGAACACTTCTCAGAGCCAGTCCAGGCCCCTCCATAGCAAGTGGGGACACTGTAACAGGCAGGCGACCCAACCCAACCTGACCCAAGGGACACCACACTGCCGCTCCTTGGCCAAGGCCATTCCTCTCCCTCTGCACAACCAGGTAGGGGCCCAAGCAGGGCTACTGGGAAGGCTCAGCCGGCCAGTCCGCTGCGTGTCTTCAAGAAGCGGCACTGACCACAGGTGCTTGTCCCTCGCTGCACCGCCTGGACAGAGAAGGCTGAAGGCAGTGGTGGTTTGGATCCCACAGCCTTGGAGTGAGTGAGCGCTCCTCAGTTAATACAATCAAGAGCAGGATGACTTGCAGGCACAAACGTCCAAGCATGCCAGGAAACAAAATGCAGCACGCCCACCCCAGGCTACAGCCAGGAACAGCTGGTGGACGTCTGCTAAATGCCAGCCACCGAAACAGCAGCCTAGTTCCCTGTCGGGGTGGCCTGGCTGAAATGGCTGGCTGCAGGGGTGAAAGCAGCCACTGGAATCGCTCACCTGGGGGCTTGCCCTGGAGTCACACTCAATGCTATCGAGCCGTTGGGGACAGCAGTTGTGTTCAAGCTAACGGGGGTCTCCCCGGTAGCTTGTATTTTAAAATAGACCAAATAAAACACGGGCAGCACAATCCCGATGAGGAGCATGATGAAGACAGCATTCCACCACCGGATCCCACAGTCGGCACCGTCTGTGGGCATCTGTGGAGGGGCTGCGAGCAGCGGCTGATCCGGGGTGTCTACACAGCAGCTCTCACTGAGGAAGATTTCCGACTGCACTGCACGCTCGATGTTCTGGTCAATCCCCTTAAAGAAATCTGTCAGCTGGCTGGTCTGGGTGTCCACACCGGGAGGTTCTGCCAAGGTCACTCTGGTCTCTGAGGATGGTTCTGGGAGGGGTTTCAGTTCTGTGTGGCTTTCTGTGAGGAGCCCGTGGTTTTTCACGGGAATTTTAATAGATTTCAAAGCATATAAGTCTTGTTCTCTGATGAAGTTGTTGACTTTCTTAATATCTGCAACCTAGGGAAGCCATGGAGACACAGGTAATAAAACAAGTGAAGCTTCTTAAAACTATGTACAGCAATACCGAACACACACACTGAGTTCACCTAGGCTGAGGGACCTTGTGCTTTTGTTTGGCTTTTACTTGGCCCGAATGGACAGCTTAGTGATCAAATGTGCCGATAGATTTACAAGTCTGGACAATTTTAGGTCAGTCTGGGAAACTGTTTCAAGTGTGACTGCAACAAAATGCTTTTAGGTGAAACCCAATCGGGACTGGAAGGAACTCAGTAGCCCTGTTTCTTTTAACTTAGAGGCAACAGTGCCCCCATCTGCCTGACTTCCTTCTCACACCAGAACCCAACTAAATCCCTGCCAGAGGAAACCCCAAAGCCTCCCCCAGTTCTAAGGACATCAGAATCCAGTCCACCAGAATACCCTTTAGCAGATGTGTCCTCATCTGGCACGATGTTTTCTTTCCTGAAAACGCTACAGGGTGTATAAACTTTGACCTAAGGTTAATTCACCTTGAAGAAATGACAACATTTCTTATCATTAGACTCATCCATCAAGTCGGAGGTTATGGACAGATTTTTAATGGTAACCTTAGGCATAAAGAACTCTGTAACAGAGTTTATCTTGTAAGACAAAATTCATGACAAACTCCTGTCTTAAACCTTAAGGTTTTCGAAGGGGGTTGAAGACCACTTAAACTAGACTCTAAATACAGCCCACAGACCTTTAGACCGAGCTTCATTCATGTCAATCATGCCTGCTATTATAATTATTTAGCAGCTGCTTTCATCATTTCATTAATTGAGTAGGGACATTTTGCATTGTTTTCTGAAACTAACAAACACGAGATCCTTGAGATGTTTGGCCTTTGACTCAAACTAAAAACAAATGTATTTGCCTCAAGTAGGAAAACTGATTAGGTGCTGGAGGCACTATAAATCCTTGGTAGGTTTATTAAGACATCACCATTCCAGTAGGCCTATCCATATATATATATAGGGTTTGTTTTTCAGTCCATCTTCTGTAAACCATAGGTTATACCTACAGAAGCTGATTGTAAGAGTCAATCATAAAAATCAGTACCATTTAAGGGTGCTGTGTGTCCCTAGAAACTGGCCTGGACTTGCTTGGGAAAGACCCAAATACCCCACACAATCTTTTTTAGCATTTGGACCTTGTTAGATAAGTGACAAATGCTTTCTAAAGTTTTTTAAATACGACGTAGCTTATGTATAGAAATTTATTGCACAGTGTTACCAAAATGAAACAATTTCACTCTAGGAGAAAATGAGGCAATTCTATAAATACTTTCCTACTTACTTTGCCATTGTTAATCACTCTGAATGCTAAAAACATAATTAAAGAGAAAAACAGGGTTATAAAGATACACAGCACAGAGACTAGATCATGCAGTTCTAAAAGACAGAGGTAATTTTTTACTAAATAAGCACAGCTCAAAAAGTCAGAAAAATTAAAAGTAGCAAGAAAAGCAAGCACGCCAAAGAAATCTTGGATAAAATCTGCCTGGCATCTCCAACCCTCTTAAATAAAACGTGCTCAAAAGGAAAAAAAAAAAAAGGCCTCAGAATTCCAATGTTTTTCGCTCTGCAGAGGGAAATGCACCACTATGAGAGCTTCCTGACTAATCTCTCTCTCCCGGAGTTCAGAACTAAAGGACCTCCGCCTGCCTTCCAACTCTGGCTAAACAGAGGTGCCTGCTGCTGCAGCAACAGGGTCATCTATGGAGTCAGGAAGGGCAACAAGCCCTAGCCTCCATGAGCTCTTCAGTGTTGCTACACGCAGGGGACAGAGCACCCGGGGCGCCTTACTTTGCAGCCATACTGCAGAGCCAACTTGTTGAGGTTGTCTTCCTGGGCCAGCTCTCGCTGCAGCAGCACCACATCTCCTGCCCTGGGCCGGTGAGCCTGGTGGGCACCGTTCTGGAGCTCTCTGCCCCGGGGGCGTAGCACCACACGCTGCTGCTGAGTCTCTTCCTCAGAGGAGTCCTCCGAGTCCCCACTGCCATTTTTGAACATGTAAACGTGACTGCTCCGAGTCCTACAGACAACCGCTGGGCCCTGGAAGGTCTTGGTTAACACCTCCTTCTGCCTCATCTTCTTCACTGCAAACCAAACCCCAGTGTTAATCCCCAAACAAGACGTATGCCTCAGCAATTATTCCTTTCCCCAATTACTGCAAATACCATCTGTACAAAACAAGAACGCCCTTATGCTGAGTTGGAAGGAGCAAAAACTTTTAAAAATTGCATACGTTTAGCAGAAAACAAAAGATCCCTCTCGGTTCTTCCCTTATCCTTCATCCATAGGTTGGGATCCTCGCAATGAGAGGTAAGGACTGTTCTGCTTCCTTACATGAATAAAATTCAGAAGCTCTGTACACAAAACTTATACGCTATTTTATGCATTCCATGGTCTGTTCACTAGGCAGTTGATACTAAGGACACATGCTTAGAACCGAAACTATCATGCTCTTATTTTGATACTGGTTGATGTCTTTCGTACTCGAGGCAAGGTAGGGAGAAAAAGTGCCTGGTGACCTGAGAAATTCGCCCCTTTTTCAGAGGTCACTGTGCATTCATTACAGCCCCGTGTCTATTTACACCTATTGCCAAAGCCACAAGGCATCCCTTCCCCTCTCCAAAAAGAGAAGATTCTAGCAATGAAATTTGAGACTCGAGGATTAGCAATATCAAAGAGCTGGCAAGGAGCCCGATAGAGCCGCAGGGGCGCGGTCCTAGGGGTGCCCCGCGGAGGCCGCCGGCGCAGCGGCTGCGAGCGCCCCCACCCACCGACCCCGAGATCTCGGTCCCCGCCAGGCCTCCTTCCGCGACTTCGCAACAGGACTGTCCCGGGCCCGGCCCCCGCCCCTGACCTCCAACCCCGCAACCTGGGACCAGCCCCGGGCAATGTCGGCCACCGCCCCTCCGCTGCCGGAGGTCACCGAGGAGACTAGGCCAGCCCTCGGTGTGACGCTAGCCCGCAGCCCCCAAGGCAGGACCACGGCCCCCTCCTCCGGGCCGCGCTACCTCGAATCCCAGGCTCCCAGGCTCCCAACCTCCGCCGTGATCCGCCGCCGCCGCCGCCGCGCCTGTTGATTGGCTGTGAAAATCAGGCCTTCCGGGGGCGGGGCCGGAGAGACAGCCAATGAAATCACTGGTGAGAGGGCTGATTGGTCAGCAGGGGACCTGCAGGGTCTGGGGGCGGGGAGAGGGAGGAGCTGGAGGGGAGGGGCTTCAGCTCCTGGACCGACCCCTAGCCCCAGTTGCCCGCCCTGAGGCCGCCCTTGGCGGTTTCTCAGCGTGTCTCAGAGGTGCAGCGCTGGACTCCTTCCAGGCAAAGGGCTGGCTTTGTGCTGAGCCTCAGCTTCTCAGTCGAAGAGGCGTGTGACCGGCCTGCGTGTGACAATCTGTAGGCAGGGAGCGGAGCCCTAGGAGTGGCTGTCACCTCCTGAGATCTCCCCTCTGGCGTGGGGTCTTTCTGCGTGGGCGATCCCGGGATCATAGAGGCTGCCCTGCCCCCGAGAATAAAAAGAAAAGTCCAGAAATGTAACACATTGGCAAACACCGACATATATAGTTATCAGATGTCGGGTAGCGGAGGGTCTCCTAAGCTTAAAAGTGATGGAACTAAAAAAAAAAAAAAGAAAAAGAAAAAGGAAAAAAAGGGGCGGAACTCCCACGTCCCAAGGCATAAATGTGGAAACTTCCCAAAAAAGGAACCCAAAATAAAAAGCAAACAGTAATCTGGGGAGAAATATATGCAAAAAACACAACCAAGGACTAAAGTCCTTAATGGAGAGCCCTCGTCAAAAGAGTAAGAAATCGATCCCTGGTACCGAAAAACAAAAGAGTAAGAAAGACAAGACCTCAGGAGATGGGAAATTCCCCACAGAATACAGATGGTCCGCAGCTGGGGAGGGGCGGAGCGGGGAAAGATTAAACCTCAGTAGCAATCAAGGACAAGGCGAGCATTGAAACAAAATCTCAGAAAGCCAAGTTTTCCCATCCCACTTAGAATAAAAATAAACCAGGCATGGTGGCGCGCACCTGTAATCCCAGCACTTGCTGCTATGGATATAGGAGATGAAATATGAAAATATTGTTATCTCCCAATTACAATTGTTATCTCCCAATTGTTAGATGTCTGATATGGCAAGTTTGTGTTCTTTAAACTCTAAGAATGAGGGCTGGGGATTTAGCTCAGTGGTTCCGCCGCCTGCCTCGAAAGCGCAAGG